TCTTCTTCAAACTGCTATATATGCAACAGTATAGGAATGAAAATCGGTTCGATCATAATTGAGCAATTTATTATACTTAAGAACAGGTTACGAAAGTGTAAAGTGATATTGTTTCATTAAAAGAATTCGTTTGTAATGAAAATTCATCTACAAATGATGAGGAATCATATGACGAAGTAATTAAATACATAAAGAGGAAAATGATCTGTTAAAAATGTGAACATATATTATTGTGATAGAGAAAGTATTCATGTATGTATTCACAAGTATGATGTTTGACATCAACATTGAGTTCTATGCCAGCGTTATCAGCAACAAGCAAGCGTATACTTAGTAAAATTGATTGGAATTAAAAAACAGAAAAGATATCAAGTGAATTCTGAATTATTTGTTGTTTTTGTGAAATTTAAGATGATCTCTTCTTTTCGTTGTTGCTTATGAAAAAAAACTAAAGAGGATACTTTTTCATATAAAGTAAAGATTTGAAAACTGTACGATGACTGTGAAATTATCTGCGGGATATCGATCATACATACAGGAAAGTTTGTTTTGCGTTTTTCTCAAAATGAAGTTTTGAACAAATAAAAATGAAATTTTGCTCTTCTGTTCTCCTACACGGTATGTCCAATTGGGCTCCACTTTTTTGTGAATACTTTGGTGAAATTGGGGTGGTTGCTTGCTTTTTCTTCAAAATATTGTTTCTATGAAATTCGGCAACCTTTAAAAATTTAGCACCATTGAAAAAAACATGTTTTTTTTTTATAGCGCTTCTAGTATTTTGCTTTTCCTGAGCTCTAGGAACGATATTTTTGAAAGAGGAAAAAAACACGCAACTTGATTTGATCCTAGTTCTCACACAAAAATTGCAGCTCGAAAAACTGAAGTATCGAGTTTTTGTATGTGAGGGGGAACGTTTGGTCATTTTTGTCTTTTGCACCTTCCTGCCTCTCTGAAGCAAGCGTTGGAGAATTTTGAGTCTATGACATTTTTCGATTTACTTATCAAAATCTATCTGTTTTGAAAGTTTCATCATTTTTTGTTGATCCGCTTCCGAGAAATCTCGGAAAGAAGAGGCCGTAAATCTCTTGACGTTATTAAATCTACTACTTTTTCTAAATCAAAGTTCTTATCGTTTAACTGTCATCTATTACGTTAAATTTTCAAAGTTGCAATAGCTGACTAGAGATTAATAAGTACATTAATCTTTATGAGAAAATTCATTATTGCAAAAAGAAAACCGTTGGTGATATATACAATATAGATATAAAATAGAAATATATTCTTAGAAGGCACTTACATCAATACTTTCTCGAGATTTGTAAAGCTTTTCCTTTGCCTTTTAGTATTTGATTCAATGAGGTTAAAATCAAACGAGTTAATGGTAAAAGTTTCGATAAAAGTACAAATCAAGACTTTTTATTTTCTTTTAATTCTATTGTACTCTTATGGTGCATTTAGTTTGTTGAATTGAAGATAATAGACCAGATAGCATTTATGTACGGTGAACTTCCTATATATATATGTTTTTTCTTTTTCTATTTCATTTTACTGTTTTATCTTGTTTAGCATACGTTTAAGCGTGCTCAAAGAAGATTATATGTAGAGCGCTTAACCTTAATTCGATCACCAAATTTTATCTTTTTAAAAAAAAATTCATAAGTTCTCTCCACAACATCCATTTGAGCTAATTTTTAATTTCCGGGATGCAGTAAACATTTCTCTATCTTTTCATCAATTCTTTTTTAAAAGTTAATTAATCTTTAATTAGCAGTAGTCGTTACAAAGACAGCTACTCACATTTTTTCCTCGTTCTCTTCCTGTCCTAACTTGATCATTCCAGCTATTTTTGTTTCCTAATTCGATCATTCAAGCCATTTTGTAAAGAGTGCTAAAGAAAAACATTGTTTCGACATGAAAAGTATCTTTAATCTTAAAACAAATTACATCATTCGATTCATTAACTCAAAATCTATATTTTCATATAGTTTTTATAATTCTTATAAGAATGATCAGATTAAGATCAGTTGCTTAATTTGATCACAAATATCATTCGAATGTAATCAGAAAAAAATAATGAAAATTACTCATAAGAATTATAAAAACTATATGAAAATATAGATTTTGAGCTGATGAATCGAATGATGTAATTTGTTTTAAGATTAAAGATACTTTTCATGTCGAAACAATGTTTTTCCTGAGCACTCTTTACTAAATGACTTGAATGATCGAATTAGGAAACAAAAATAGCTGGAGTGATCAAATTAGGAAAGGAAGAGAACGAGGAAAAAATTTGAGTAGGTGTCATTGTAACGACTATTGCTCATTAAGAATTAATTAATTTTTAAAAAAGAATTGATGAAAAGCTAGAGAAATGTTTACTCGATTCCGGAAATTAAAAATTAGCTCAAATGGATGTTGTGGAGAGAGCTTATGAAGTTTTTTTTAAAAAGATAAAATTTGGTGATTGAATTAGGATTAGACACTCTATCATCATAGCCATATTCCTCATTTTGTGTAGAATATTTGTGTTTGTCTTCACGGTCTGTACTCAAATGAGATAAAACCAAATGTTCATGAACTTTCATTGACAGATATTTCACAAGAGTTTTTTTCTATTTTATTTGACTTTTGTCTATTATACTTTTTCCTTATACATTCAATTGAATGAAGTTGAAATGATCATTAGCATCCTTAGATGCATTTATTAAATTTTTTAGATTTCTATATAGTTTTATTAATGTTTTTTAATTTTCTTTGATTCGTTATATATATCATCGCGTAAGTTCGACGTAGATACTCCTCTTGAATTACATTTATTGAAGTCTTTCAGATTTTGATTATTATTTGTAGTTTTAAATATAGTTTTTTTTTCTTAAGGTATCCATATCAGTGAACAGAAAACCTTTGATCACACACTATCCACGCAATAATCAAAATTTTAAAAGCATCCAGCCTTTTCTTATTGTTTTATATTCTATGTATATCTAATTGTCTGTAATATAAAAGATTATTAATGATATTCAGATACCTGATAATAGAATAGTATATTTTTATTCTGTTAACTAAACACATATGTAAATCATATTTGCCACTGATTTCGGGTTCATGTCGTCTTCCTAATCTTCAGGTTATGTAATGCAGAATAATAATACATCGATCAGAAATTGTCTTCGAGTAATTATATTTTTCTATTTTGTAATAGTTTGGATTTTCTTAGTTATTTTTCGCTGTCTGTGCGTATTGACAAAGATTCTCTTATTGTCTTCATTGCAATTTCTCTTCATATTTTTCGTTTGCCTTTCGTATATGAAGAAAAAAAAGGGAAACATCAATTTTGTCGAATACAAAAAATGTCGATCGCAAATTTGTCGAATCAACAAATTTTTAAAAAAAATAACGATTATTGTATTGTTAAGCTTCCTTTCGATGGATTTCAAATTCAATTATAATCACCTAAAATCTGACTTAAAATCAAGTTGGAATCAAGTTGAAATTAACCCTCTACCCCGCAATAGGTCATAGATGACCCATTTGTAGAACGATCACAGAAGATAAAGGGAGCCTGAGACTGAAAAACTCTCAAGACGTTATTTGTAAGAAACTTTACAAACTATCGATTGGTAAAAAAATATTTTGTTTCATTATTCTATCTTCGAGATATATGACTTATAAAATCGATAATTTTGAAAAAAATGTAAAAATTCTCAATTTTTTAAACAAAATGTTCTCTACTCACAGTCGATAGAGGTCATTTAGAATTTCTGTGTGATATTAATCGATAAAGAAGTCCACTGCTGAATTAGATGTGTTTCGAAAGCTTCATGATAACTCCGCGAATTATACATACTAAAGAACACAATCGATCATGTAGTCATTGTTAGACAGATGGAGAATAATCAAGAACAAAATTAATATATGCGTTATAAACCTCAACTCATGAGAAGTCGAAATAGTATTTATGATGAATTAAATTCTTTCAGATGTTAGAAAATGGCTCAGAGTAAAATAGGCTTAAATTCGACAATAGGTGTAAAAAAAGCATGCAATCTTTGATGTTAGTTTTTATCAGTTCACTCGTTGCGTTTTTCCTATCACTTCAACAGTATGAGATAGATGTTGCTTCTGTCCAGTCAATAATGTGGTCAAAGAAAAAACATTAAGTCTTATAATGTCGTTCAATTCTCATTTTCCACCACATAATTTTTATATCCATCAAACCGTCATACTTCAGGAACAGGACATTTAGTGAATTAGACTGCACCATTGGCATATTGAACAGGCTAATAGTCTATTTATAAAGTTATTTTATCAGAGGCTCTTCTGAAACCGCTATGGAGATAAAGAATTAACTTAATTTCAAGTTAATTTCAACTTGATGTCAACTTGATTTCAAGTCAGACTTTAGGTGATTATAATTGAATTTGAAATTCATAGAAAGGAAGCTTGGCAATACAATAATCGACATTTTTAAATAAAATTTGGATTCCAATTTTGTCGAATCGACAAATTTGCGATCGATATTTTTTGTATTCGACAAAATTGCAGGCACTCAAAAAAAAAGACCAACAACTTCAATGATTTTATGAAAAGGATCATTACCTTTTTAAACATAGATATGAGATCTGTGTGAGATATTTCCTTCATAAGACCGCAAAAAACTGTTGTTCATGTTTTTCTAATTGATCATATAAAAATTCGATAACGATTCTTTTCACTTTCTTTTGAATGCATTGAAAAACAATGAATAAAACTGTCGAGTATGGTAGTGTTTTTTAGACCCATTAAGGACATTTTACAGTAAATGATTTCAATAATGAAAAGAAAAAGAATAATAATGTCAGCAATTTCCGTGCACCATGAGGTAGAATAATTAATTCTGAATATTCAAGACTTACTTGATAAGTTCCATTCTCGGACATATGAATAAGGGGAAATATTAAAACATTTATTCATTATATAAACTTATCTTATATAAACTTTTTTTTTTTGAAAAAGAAGATATGCTTTCTGATCCATTTTTTATTGTCAATTATTCGTTAGCTATTGTATTTTCAATCGTTGGCTTAAGTTTATGTTTGCTAACAATTGTCATCACTATTACCCATCGACAATGTCATAATTTTACTAATGTACTCTCTTGTAATACATGTACAGCTGTTACTTTATATTTCATCTTTCGAATTCTTACATGCATCTATGGTCTTCGTCAAGACTGGCAATTTCATCAACCAGCTTGTATTTTTCGTGCATATTGTTCACTTGCATTATGTGCCGCTCTTTGTTATTCATATTCTATCCAAGCTACTAGTCGGCTATTTTTTGCTGTATTTTACAAACATAAATATCTTCTTACATGGCGTACTCATTGGATCATGATTATTGTCAATTGGATAATTAGTTTTATTATATCAATTCAACCATTTTTCTATCAACATGGTTTTGAACTTGAAATAGAATCTCGTAGTTGTGTTGTTACTCCTAAAATTGTATCAATATCTATGTATACACTTGTAATTATATTTATTATTCCTTTGATTGTTGTAACAATTTTTGGTGGTATAATTGTTTATTATGTTCGTCAATCGAGTCGTCGAATAGCAGCAGTTGTATCAAACGTAGCCGAAAATGCATCTACCGTTCAAGTTTCTAAACGTTATGGAAAACGTGAGTTAAAACTTCTGAAAAATTTGATGATTCAGTCAAGCATTATCTCATGCGGAGGAATACTTTATTTGATTCTTGTTGTTTGGTATGCCACACAACAGCAATCTCCACCTGAATCATTGTATTTATTGGCTTTAAATTCAATAACAGTTTTTACTACATTCAAGACGATTGTTCTGTTTCTATTGAACAAGACAATAAGAAAAATTACTTTGAAATATTTGTTTCGACTTTGTTAATCGAATATTGAACAGTCAATAAATCATCGACTAAATAGATAATGCCATGTCCATCAATATGCTTTTGAAATTACAACTATTTGCATGTAAAATAATTAGTTATGTTTGTAGAAAATATGTCTTATTCATGTCCAATGTTTTAATAAATATTTGTTATTTTCAATAGAATAACACACAAATTGGATTTGATGAGTCTAACAAATAATATCTTCAATTTTATGTCCTCATAGATAGACTATGATGCAGATATATCTCAGAAAAAATACGTGAAAATCTTTAACAGGGAGATATTTTAAGCATTTCATAGTTGATTACGTATAGCAAAAGTGCAGAACATACTATCGAATGAATGCTAATAGAAAACAAACTTTCAGTTTATTAAATATGAAACCATTTTATAAATTACGGCATAGTTATTGTCATTGAAGAAAAGAAAGTCGGACAATTGCTGGTTACGACATTTTCTCAGCAGGACACTTAATCTCGCATGTGGGTATGAGGGACGTGGCTGTAAGAGATAGAGATGTAGTTGCTGATGTGAGTCTTCTCTTCATCTACATCAACACCCTTATTATATTTTACATCAATATTTTTTAGGATGCAACGATGGCAAAACACCATTCATCGTACTTGTAACGGAACTAGTCTACAATGTATTGTTCATTTGTGTAGGGATATACACTTTCAATAATTACCACAAAAGTGAATAAAGCTGATAGACACGCGAACAAACTATGATAAGATTAGTATTTTGGCATATGTTAAGATAGCTAAAGGATGCTAAAAACAGTCGATCTTCATCGTTAGTTTACTGTTGAATGTCTTACAGGTGTGCCGATAGACGGTGCTCCAGTGGCCCATCACCACGTTCCTAAATACTTTCATTGCAGAAGACTACAAAATTTATTATTTGAATTGAAGTTATATTTAAATTTTCGAAAAAGAAAATCTCCGAAATTATTATAAATTATTACAGAGCGTACAGAATTAATCAAAGACAAAACTCAGACATTTACAGGAAATTTTCGAAATTTATCAGCAAGACATGGGAGACAAATTTTCAAGGATTTTCCATAATAATCCATATATCACAAGGAAATTTCTACTTAGTTTTTAGAATAGGAACATATACCGAGTAAACTACTAGGGAACCACAATGAAAATATCGAAAATACTAACAGCCAAGCAACGTAACGAGTTGAGCAGAGAAAATGCTTCTCATATAAAAATTCTTTTTCTGGTGTGGTACTTGAACAGAAGAGTTTCTTTTAGTATGATAAGATAGAGAATATTGTCTATATCACATTCATATGTAGTGCAAAAAAAATAATCATATACTGTTGTTTTTTTTTTTGTAATAATAAAAAACATTAAAAGCTACAAGATCTAGAATGCTCAAATGAAAAATTAGGACAACTCAATATTGCTATTTTCTTCCTTGAAATTCTCGAAAAAGAACTGGTTTCAAAGTGTAAAAGATGCAGCATTTTTCGGACTATCAGTCTGTACGTTATTGCATCATATACACAACTGTTATTGCTTTGCAAAAAAAATAAAAATAAAAACGTATTTATGACTAATGAGATGATGTCATATTTTAAAGATTTTCTCTAAGCATTGAGTTCGAAAAGTAATTACTGTTATATCAGAAGATGCAGAGTTTTACGTCCTGCAAAATAAATCTTTTTCTATGGTTTGCATCGTTTTAGTCGCAGATGACAGAGTTGAAATGTACTTGCTCAAATGGAATGACGTCAAAAGTAGATTATCACCTAGTTGTTTTAGCTACTGTAGGATTTCATTTCAGAATATGATTTTGTATCCCAGTAATCGACACATTGTTGTATCATTTTTTGGTACCTTATTTGGATTACACTATGAAAACGTATATAATGATATTAATCAAGTCTTTCTTAGTGTGATAGCAAGCAGTTGGGACTTTTTAGAAATCTTATAATTTGAATACATTTAAAAGTTGATTAAAGTAGATCTTGATTTAAACATAGCACTCGAAATTAAAGAAAATTCAGAATCTTTCAAGTTTCAAACGAAGTCTTGAACGCTGATTAAACAAGCTAAATGATGCGCTTTAAAGTGGCATCAATAGCATACATAAACGTGAAAATAAAATTTCCATATTTTCTTTACCTTTTAAGCATAAAGATTGAGACATAAATCTATAAACATGGAGAACCATCTCCCAAAAGCTATAAAAATTTTCAGAAGCTTCGGTAATCACCGAAAATTTTTCAAAAATTAGCTTGAAATTTCTTTGCATTTTTTAGTATTCTCTAAAATTGCGTGAAAAATTCATTTTGATGTAATGGTAATTACCGTTATATCCCTGATATCCGTTGCTTGGTACTCAGTACTTGTCATCATATCCCGATAATTTTCTAACAGGTCTTTTTCAAGATGTTTCTAATTTCTGAAACTAATTAGAAAATCTGTAGTCAAAGAATAGTGATTAGCGAACTTACCTAGAAATTGTTTTGTTGTGCTTTAACAATCGTCGAAATTGCGTGGAAATTTCTTGGTAGTATATGAATAATTATCGAAGTTAGTTGAAAATTTCCTTCTCATGCCCTGATAAATATTAAAAATTTCCAGTAAATTTCTGTATTTTCTGAAAATATCTTTTTTTTTGCATGATAGCACTTTTCGGACATTTGATGATTTACAAGAGAGATTTTTGTTTTTCAGAAATCTTGAAGACTGTTGTGAGTAGCAACAAAGCAAACTCGAAAGATGTCGCATAGGTCTTATCCATTGTTAAATTTTTATTCAATTGGACTAAGTCACCATTTAACCTACTTTCCAACTTTTGGTGTATAGAAGAGAGAAAAAAAGAGGCTAACAACACAGAGATATATTGCTAAGAAAATCAACATCGCTTTTTTCTGCATGCAATCATTCTCAGAGTGTTTGTGATGACGCAACCAAAAATGACGGTTGCATGAGGCTTGCATCATCTTTCAAAAAAAAAATATATATCGAGAAATTTTTATTTTTGCCATTATAGATTTATATAAAACGAAAAAGATAAATAGCATAATCCAAGAAAATGGATGAAGCTCTACAACGACTAAAACAACAGGTCTTTTAAAATTTTTATTCATTTAAAATTTTATTATTTATTTTTGTTTTATTAGGAAGACGAAGTCAAAGAACTTGAAACACAATTATTTAGTCGACCAGAATTTAATGATAACCGTAAAATTGAAGAATTACGAGCTGAAAATGAAAAATTAAACTATCGAGCAAATATTCTTATTCGAGTAAATAAAATAAATATCAAAAGAAAAAGAATCGAAGAATTTATTCAGTAAATATTATTCTTAATTTAGAATATTGAAGAATTAAAAAAACAACAACCACAAGCAATTTCAACAGGAGCTAAACATGATGATAATAAAGACAAAAAACAACCATCACAAACAAAATCAAATGAAAAAAAACAAGATGATTCTAAAAATAACAAACAGCAATCACAAACAAAATCAACTGAAAAAAAACAAGATGATTCAAAAACTAATAAACAACAATCACAAACAAAATCATCTGAATTAAATCAAAATGATAATAAAAATAAAAAACCAACAACAACAACAACAACAACAGCATCAAATAAAACTTATTTTACATCGGGTGCAGAAGGTGATAGTCAGCATTCTTATCGAGTATTGGATACATTAATTAGTCTTTTCGAACAAGCTATTCGAAAAGCTTTTCCCGAAGATGTAACTTTACCAGTTCTTGTCGTACCTGGACGACAAACTGATTATCAATGTAATTCAGCTATGCCTATTGCTCAGGTTAGAAGAAATTATAGAAAATAAATAAATTAATATACGAATTCTTTTTTCGTAGAAATTAACTGCTGCTGGCAAAAAAATTGCACCAACAGAAGTTGCTAAAATCATTGTTGAAAATCTTCCGAAACATGAAATATTCGGAAATGTTTGTTATATTTTAATGATTATCAATATAAAGATTTTTCATTGTTTTTTTTTTTAGATTCAATTTTCTGGACCCGGTTTTATTAATGTTACTATTGCTGCAGCATTTGTTTCTGAACAAATTCGAAATATTTTATTGAAAGGAATTTTACCACCCAATGTTTTAAACATTGTTGGCAATCATGGAAGTCAAGGTGAACATAAAAAACCAAAAGTTGTTATTGATTTTTCAGCACCAAATATTGCTAAAGAAATGCACGTTGGACATTTACGGTAAGTTTATAAAAGTCAAAAAATTACAGATGTAATGCTCGATGCAAAAATTTGTCGAAAAAGTTAAAATATTATCGTCAATGCTATCAAGCTGTTGCCAATAATGTCTTTCATTATTTTTTTCTGATAGAAGATGTGTGAATATCATAAATTTTTCATAGTATTTCTCTAGTACTTATGAGGAAATCATTCAAAATGATACTCACTACCGTCTGGGTTCATATCGGGCCCGCAAATAGGTCTCGGTAAGATTAGAAAAGTCTAAAAGAGTTGTTGCCATAGGCCTTGTTAGGATCATTTTACTGAATTTTCGGTGTAAAATCTTACTCATAGATATATCTAATGATCTATATCATATCCTTATAGTTTCAGCAAAAATAAAAACATGACTTTTTGGTTGAGATATTGAATTTTCAAGTAAACTCGATTTTTGTATCGTGCGTGTGACAAACCATTATTTTTCTTAGAAATTCGATATCTCGACCAAGGAACACCTACATCCTCACGACTGCGAGTATCAATTCGAATGGTTCTCTCGAGAGTGAAGATCGAAAATCTACTCTTGTCAAATTTTTGAATCATTTGCTAATCCTTATCCTTTAGAATTGAAGTTATTTTCATTTCATTTCATATTAAATCATTCTATTTATTGCAAATTATCAGGACTAACTTTAATTGAAAGAATTGAAGATGAATAATCTCATTTTTTTTAAACAATCTCTCGATCGAATATTAAAACTAAATGTATATATATATAGATCAACTATAATTGGTGATAGTATTGCTCGTCTTCTTGAATATGTTGGTTTTGATGTACTTCGATTAAATCATCTTGGTGATTGGGGTACTCAATTTGGTATGCTTATTGCTCACTTACGAGATAAGTTTCCTGAATATAAAACAAAATCACCACCAATTGGTGATCTTCTATCATTTTATAAAGTAAAAATTCGTTTACTATATAATTTTCTGACTAAAAATAAAATATAATTAGGAATCAAAAAAACGTTTCGATAATGAACCTGATTTTAAACAACGAGCTTATGAATGTGTTGTTAAACTTCAAGCATTTGATCCCGATATAATTCATGCATGGAAACTTACTTGTGATGTATCTCGACAAGGTTTGATTAGAATAAAATTTTTTTCATTTTATTTATAAATTTTTGAATATATAATTTAGATTTCGAATATATTTATAAAGAACTTGATATAAAAATAATTGATCGAGGTGAATCATTTTATCAAAGTCGAATGATAGATGTTGTTAAAGAACTTGAATCGAAAAGTATAATATTTGCAAAAAAAAAAAACCAATTCTGATTATTCTTTTTTTTCTTTCATATAGATTTATTAAAATTAGAAGAAGGTCGTAAAGTTATGTATCTACCTGATATTGATGTTCCATTAACAGTTGTTAAAACTGATGGAAGTTTTACATATGATACAAGTGATATGGCAACAATAAAACAACGTTTAGAAGAAGAAAATGGTGATTGGTTGATTTATGTTATTGATTCAGGTCAAGTAAGTTATTTTAATAATAAAGAATTTATTTGAAATATTAATTATACAAAAAAGGCTCTTCATATGCAATCAATATTTGCTGGTGCCAGAGTAGCTGGATGGACTAAAGGAAAGAATGTTCGAATAGATCATGTTGGTTTTGGTGTTGTACTTGGTGAAGATGGGTAGGAGAATAAATTTAAGAAATATTAATTAGTTTGGTTGTTTGTTTGTTTTTGTTTTTCATAGTAAAAAATTAAAAAGTCGATCTGGTGAAACAATTCGTTTACGAGATTTACTTGATGAAGGTCTCGGACGATCAATGGCTAAATTAAAAGAAACAGATCGACAAAATGTAAAAATTTCTTTTTTTTTTTGTATTTCATGAATTATTGTGAAACCGTTTTCTCTTTTTGTTTTAAAGGTATTAACACCTGAAGAAATTGAAAAAGCTCAAAAATCAGTTGCATATGCTTGTATTAAATATGCTGATTTATCTCATAATCGAAATTCTGATTATATATTTTCATTTGATCGAGTAAGAAAAATAGAAGAGAAATTTTAATAAAAAATTTGTTTTTTCTTTTTTGTTCTATAGATGCTTGATATTCGAGGAAATACAGCTGCTTATTTACTTTATGCATATACTCGAATTCGGTAATAGAAATATTTTTGTTTTTATTTTTTTTCTTATTTATTTAAAATATAGATCGATTGGTCGAACAGCTGGTGTTGATCAAGCTACATTAAAAGCAACGGCACATGATATTGAACTTAATTTTGAAATTGAAGAACGTGAATTAAAATTAGCTAAATGTATTATTAAATATGCTGATATATTTACACGTGTACTTGATGAATTATTAATGCATGGTTTATGTGAATTTATGTATCAATTAGCAACAACATTTACTGATTTTTATGATCGATGTTATTGTGTTGAAAAAGATAAAGTAACTGGTGAAGTTCGACTTAATTATCGACGAATACTTTTATGTGAAGCAACAGCAAATGTATTGAAACAGTGTTTTGAAATTTTAGGTATTCAACCTTTAGAACGAATGTAATCTCATATGATGAATTATCTCTTGGTTTACAACAACAACAACAACAACAAAAACAAAGTCATATTTACTTTTTTTCTTTTTTATTAAAAGAAAAATAAAACAAACAAAAAAAAGATAATAAGAAAGAATATATTAAAAAGAAATTTATTTTTAATTTGTATCCTGTTGGGACGATTTATCGATTATTATGATTCATCATTTGAAGAAGAAGTTTGCGTTGTATAGGGAACTATTTCAATATTTTCATAAGAATCATCATCTAATTTAAGAGTAAATTCTAATTGAAATGGATTTTGTGGCCGAGCTTCTTTTGTTGTTATACCATATTCAACTAACTGTTTACTATCAGTATCAAATATTTGACCACTTACACTTAAACGTATTATATTAGGATCTATTCGAAGTATATTTCCCATAATTTGTTTTAATTCATAAACAGTTGTTGCTTCGGCAACATCAGTAAAGATAGTTTGTTTAGCACGACGAATTTGTAAATAACAATCATGATATGTATTAGATGTTGATGGTAATGATTGCATCTAGAATGAAAATGAAAATGAAAGATAAAAACTGATTTTTTTTTTTTTGTGTTGCTTTAAGTTTAAGGGAAAAAAAGCAAGAATAAGTATTTGTATAATATCTAATGGCATTTCAAAGTTAAATAGGAAAGATTTGTTTTTCAAAAACAAACAATGGGGAGAAATTCATAATGAATATAAATTTTAAGATGATTGACGTTTAAGTTCGGCAATTTCTTGTTCAATTCTTTGTTTTTCATCTTCAAGAGCAGTTAATCGTTGTTGAAATGAACCTCCTGAACTTTTTCCACTCGATTGTTGTTGACCAAAACGTTGAGAACCTCCTTTTGGTTGATTACTATTTTGATCAGATCGACTACGTTCAGTTTGATATTTTGCTGCTTGTTCAGTTTCCTAATGTATCAAGATAAATTATTATTTATTTCTATTTTTGTTTAATATTCTTACAAAACGACGAGCCCAACGTGTTTCTTCAGATTTTTCCTTTGAACTAAATGCATCTTTACCAGCACTAATATAAGATCCTATTTGAAAATAAGTACATATTAATATAATTTTCAAATACATACGCAACAGAACCAGCTTCTGGATCAGTAGTTGATTCAGTACTGAAATATTGCAAAATAAATGCAAAAAAAAATTGAAAAATGCCTTCGTTTTTCTTACCGAACAAAATTTAATGTCGAACGAACAATACGTTGAGCAACAGCTCGATTCGATAAGGTAAGTGCGCGATTCATTATTTAATAAAATCTTAAATGTCAAGGATAAAAATAAATTGATAAATATATCTCTTACAAACGAAATAGTTAATGCAATAAAGTATAACTTTGAAACGCAATCTATACAGATAATATTTTTATATTAGTTATTGTCCTACGTAAAGTCAGTACTTTTTTTTCCAGGAAAATCCATATATTATTTTTGTTATGTAAGAGGAAAGATTGAATCATCAAGTAATAATCGTTCAATGACGACATCTATGTATAATTAATATTTGAAATATGCAATAGTAGTTGTTAATTGTATATAAATTCAATGAAGATGATGCAATTCAGAGAAAAATTACATGCATAATGACACATAGAATTCGAGATTCATCTCAGATTGTATAAGATCTAGTTTTATGCTAAGATATATTGAATAATATTGCTAGAAAAAATCGAATCCAATATGCTGTTATTAATATTTACTCTCAGAAAATATCAAAGTTAACTTATATATTAATTATATACAAAAATATTAAACTATTTTTAACTAGAAAAGAAGATAAATTCATCGGTTTGTTTTGTTAGTTTGACAATATGATTTGTTACCACTTAGAAAATTTAAAAACACCTTCCTATTTCTTTCTCAATTTGATAATTGTATATATGTCAGATAAAGTTGAAATTTAGACAAAATTAAACAGACTTTTTAAAACAACAAAAAAAATCGAAAGAAATGAGAACAAAGAATTAATTTTATACAGAGTAGCACAAAAGTAAAGAAACAGAATTTTTCGATTTCTTCTTTGTATATGGTTAATTAGGTCTCATATTTGTACCACGTATCATTGGTGACTCGAAATAACCAACATTGAGGGGAAGTTATGTCGCAGCTTTTTGCAAAGGTGAAATCTTTTTCTTCTAACAGAATGCAAAAAGGAAATGAATTTCAGTTCTACTGAGAAAAAACAAAAGTTTTCGCCTATAAGGGAAGGGGGCTGTTACAACATCCGGTCTGGCCACAACTGCCACATATACTAGGTAATACTAGTTAAAAGTATAGCATATGAGCAGTTTTTGGATGCAATAATTTATTCATGATTGTACAAATATATCTTGCTACTCGTCTGTGATTGTAAGAAAAATTCGATGTTTTACGAGCTTTACTCGGTTTTCATAGTTTTGTCTGCTTATTTCAATATGTGAAAAGAATCTCATTAATTAATTTTAACCTCTTCTAGGCTCAATCAGTACAAAATGTAATTAAATCACATTCATTTCATAGAGAGCTTGAAGAACATTGAATTTCTCTTATAGACACACAAGAACAGTAAGATATATTTGGACGATTTTGAACAAATTATTACACTCAAAGACTGATCATATACCGTATTTTTTATTAGTATTACTTAGTATATGTGATATAAATATGAGCCCTAGCTGATCATGTACAAAGGACATTGAAGAAAATAATTTTTCTCTTTATATGGCAAAATTTCCATAAAAAAAATTTGCCGATTTGAATTGTAATGAAATTGTTTCTATAAGATTTAGTACATGAATATGTTCTCTTACTTTAATGTATTGTGTATGATTAAAAACCCCACGACCATCGTAATTACTTTTATAATAATGCTAAATCAATTGAGATTTATTGACGCGTCGGTAATGAAAATCATAGAGCAGAAGTTGATCCTTTGTTTTTTTGAAGATTTTACAATTGACATTGTATTACAATAAGACAAACACTGATGAAGAGTGGATAAACAAATGAAATATAATTAATTGAATATTTATTCGTCTCTGTTAAGATGATTCTCTTAGCCACGAAAGTAAATATCAGCGAATCATCAACACTTGAAGATTTCACATGTTTACATGTATTATTTTTTCGTATTCAACTAAGCTGCCTGATATTGATATTGTGTCTTGCTTAATTAATCAATGAAGGTTTATCTGTCGTGTCACCGAATATATTATGTTGTTAAGTTTTATTGAGTTTTGTTTCAACAAAAAAAAAACAATGAAGGACTTTTTAGTCTATGTATTCCTTGTGATAAAATAACGAATGTCTTCCCTCAGAATTTGATGCTTAAAAAATAAATATGTTGATAGGCTTATTCATAACAATACATTCGAACATCAATTTCTAACGTCAATACAGAAGAAGAAGAAATTCGTGTACATATTAGAATATGAATTAGTGAAAATCAATACTCTGTCTACTTGAGAATACTAACTATGTGTTATGTTCTCTTAATGGAAAATGAAAATTATTTATAACAGAAATAGATATAATTCAGGTTTTTTCCGATATGTAACCTTGATGGAAAATCTAATAAACACAAAATTTGAAATTCAATAAGCATTCTTAATTAAAAATTACTCTTCCCGAAAAAATATCATGATTCTCAAACCATTTTTTGTTCGAAATCGAACTTCATCTAATCTGCTGAAACATGTAAGGCAATAATTTAAAATTGATCTGTATTTAGAATATACAAAATTTAAATCATATAAACTATTTAAAAATAATTACTAAATATTAACATAATGTCGATAGTTAATTTATATTGATTCATAAGTAAAGAAATACGCGCGCCTTAGAAATATCGATTAAAATTTCAATCAATGTTTAAAGTATCTAATTCCAATATAAATAAATCAACTCTTAAAAATCAATTAAAATTTCTTTATCGGTTAAATAAAGCTCTTCATCAAGATGTTGATGAATCTATTCGTCTTAATTTTAATGTTCTTGGTCATCATTATGAAATTCCTTTATCAATATTAAATAATTATCCAAATACATTACTTGGTGAACCAAAATTACGTGTAAATTATTATGATTATTTAAAAGATGAATTTATATTTGATCGTCATCCACAAGCATTTGAATCAATAATAACATTTTATCTATCTGATGGAAATTCATTATCAAAACCAGATTGGATGCCAACAGAAATATTTTATGAAGAATTAAAATTTTTTCGTATTAAATCTTCTATACTTATATCATATTATGATCAAGAAATAGCACCTATGATTAACATACAAATTATACCAAAAAATCAATATAAACGTTATTTATGGTTATTAATAAATTATTCAACACAAGATTGGCAAAGTCAATTAATGCGAACCATAGATTTTATATTTAATTTAATCGCTCTTGGGACTTTTACAAGAGATTGTCTTAGTAATCATCGAATGTCACAAATAATCTATTGGATTGAAGAATCTAATGGACAAGTTCTTCGACCAATTTATATGCTTTTTCATTTACATATATCTAATGTATGTAATAGATGAATCATTAGAGTTTTGCTTGTAGCTTTTTTTTTCTAATTCTTTTTTTTCAGATTCCTCATTTAAATCTGTATAAAATTAGATATTTTTATTTGAAGAAATAGTATCCATCGTTCTTTTTTACAGTCATAATGATTTAAGGTCCAATCTTCTGTCAGAAAACTGTTTTTGTTCCAGAACCATAGATCTGACTGAAAAGTATGTTCTAGTCTTAGTAGTACATAGTAAAAATTTCGGCCCGAAATATTAAGCTGTTCATGAGTTATCATAACATCAAAGATCAAAAAGTAGGTCTTTGTGTAACTAGAATTTTTCTTCTAAATCTAATGATACAGATTTCAAATTGATTTAAAAATGTAGCCAATGCCTGTCGCTACAATTTAACAACGTCCAATTCTCAAAATTTTGCTTCTTTTGGTGAAATTATCTTTAAAAAAACATTCGAAAAATTCTTTTTTTTTCAAAAACTAAATCGAAAATGGAAAGTTCAGCTCTACTATGTTGTAAAACGCAATTTTCTTTTCATTTTAGAGGTTTTCAGAGCTCTCCGGCATGTAACATAGCCGAGAAATATTTGACACAAGAACAGGAAAACTAGAAAAATCTATATAGAAAAAAACAGGAAATAAAGTTTTGCCTATGAACCCAAAGTTCTTTCTTAATAAAACGGTATAGAAAGTAAATTAACAGTAGTTCGCCATAGGTTATCAGCCACAATGAATCGAATGAACGCTTGGGCAACCTTGTATAGCAACTTTTTCTCATAGGTAAACAGCCTATTCAGACAAAAAAAAACATCTATTCCTGGAAAAATTGTAGCACTGTACTTAAATTTAATATATATTTATGTTAGTTAAAATTGTAGCTTCAAGGTAATATAGAATATTTCAATATATAAGCTCTATTCACAACAATCCAAAGTTAGAAAAGAAAAAAAAAATATATTAATTGCTCAAAGTGAAGTAAAGAATACAGCAGCGAACAAAGAAGATGAGAACGGATAGAAGAAAAACAACTACTATTTTCATACAAAGAAAGTGGGTAGGCGGACTGGTGTAGGTGTATTCCGTCACAACACTCACAAGGTAGATATATCGGCAAAGTACACATCAAATCTGAAAAATTCGATTGAAACGATTGCAGATTGAACATTACAATATATAGCCTGACTTGTTAAATATCTATTTTAAAAAAACAAAAAATACTTATAGTCACATTTTCTCATTTGTAATATATACATTAGGAAAAATATTAACATAGAAGAAGACTCATGTGTATGTTTATGGCAAATAATTGCATGAGCACTGAAGGTCAAAAAAACAGAGGACATATGTGCAATCGTGCGAAGGCTTGCAGTATCTATTATTTGACAAACCTTGACTAGATTTGCCATCATTGGAAATCTATAAAAATAACTTCAATCGACATCAATAACTAAATTTTTCAAATAAAGATTTACAAATTTGGATCCGAGGAACCCTTGAAAATATTCTCTGTTCTAAACTGATCTGTTCGAACAGTTTAGTTCAGATCGCAGCCACCGTTCAGTTTAAACAGTTCTTTGATAGGAATTGATCTGTCCAAACAATTTCTGTTCTCTTTTTTTTCTTTCTAGAAAGACACTTCGGAATATAAAAAGCTTTTGTTCTGTTTATGAATGGCACTTCCGGGCAACAAAAAAAACCTTTTTTTCTGTTTCGGGAATGGTGCTTCTGGGCATAATAAACATTTATTCTGTTCCTGAAATACTGTTCGCAGAACAGAAAAAAACTTGTCGAATAACTTAGATGGAAATTCAACCATTGGAACAGATCAATTCCCATTAAACGAAATGTTTGAACAGATTTTGTGACATGACTTGATCTGTTTGAATAGTTCTTTCGCTTATTTGATTTGAATTGGGAGTTAGTCAACTCCCATTTTCAAACGATACATTTTTCTTGACTCTCACACTCTTAGTAAACCCTCTGTATAATAGTGGAAAATTATAATAAATTTGGTAAATCGTATTAGTTCTGGAGTGTCGACACTGAAGATTATTTATCTACGTCAAAATCTCAAAATCGACCTTGTTTTTTTTTGAGGAAAATCTCGATTTTTTATGGAAGAAGGGATGGACCTTAAGCGAGAATACATAAGTTTAACGAGATTTCTTTTGGCTTTATATTGCATCACTCAATGATGACAGAAAAGACTTCCTTAGTCGCATCAGTATTGTGAATAGAAGTGTATTATGCTCTCTGAGAAAACATGTTGAATAGTTCTTTTAACTCAAATTGTTCGCGAATCTGCAGACGATATCGGTAGAATAATAAATGGGTTTCGAAAATTATTCTAGTTTACTATGCAATTATCTAATGATTCATTGGACTATTCAAATGCTCAACATTACATATCTTTGATTGACAAACAAAAAACTTAATAAATAAAATCTCTTAAATCTAGAGAATTTGCAAAGATTTGAATAAGAAATCATTCGTACAAAAATACTAAAGTCTTCTTTTTTTTAAGTATCATTCATTATTCATACATTTTTTTTTTCGTTTTAATATAGATGATTATTGAACTATTATGCACAATAATCTTTTTAATAGAACTCTGTCTACGTATTTATTTAGCTCCAACATTTTATCAAATATATTCTGATATATGTTTTTGGTTTGAATTTTCTTCAGTAATATCAAATTTGTTTATGTATATTATTATTGAAATTCAAAAATATAAAAAAATTTATTTTTATTCTTGTTTAACATGTATTTCTATTCTACGATTATTACGTATATTTCGTTTTACAAGACAAATAATTATTTTAAAAATATTTCTTTATTCATTAATACATAGCATTCGACAATTACTTCATTTATTTATTATTCTTATAAGTATAATACTTTTTTTTTGGTGAATTTATTTATTTAATTGAAGAATGGACAAGTGATTCATCAATTCAAACAGTAACTGGTATAAAGAAAATATTTCAACAACAAAAAAAAATTTCAAATCATTTTTTTTTAAGATGGTTATTGGCTTGCTGCATTAACAGTAACAAGTCTTGGTTATGGTGATTTATATCCGACACATATTTACTCAAGAATATTAATGTGTATTTGTTCAATAATTGGTCTTGTAGTTATTGCAATGATTGTACCAGAAATTTATCATTATTTTGATAGAATCTATCAAAATGAAATGAAAAAACGACATATTATTCGTTATATTTATTCTGATCAGATAGCACTTAGAATTTGATATGATCATATAATTTTTTTTCTTTTTTCATTTCGTTAAATAAATCTATAAATTCACATTTGTTCTATATATTGTAATACGAGATGAATAGGTTCTGTTATTCATTAGAAAAGAAAAAAACGATTGATTGATCATTCATTCTATTTAATTCAAGGTTACAAAAGAAGAATCGATAACTAGACTTACATCAATTCATTCATTCATTCATTCATTTGATTTTATTACATTTTGTTTGTACACACACACACATTAAAATGAAGTCTCGACCAGTAATAGTCGCTACTACTGATGGTACTTCAACACCAGCTAAACGAACATTATTTCGTATAGCATTAACTGTTGCTATGATTGGTACAATAGCTGTAAGTACAATATTAATTTTACATGGTGCAACAGCACTTAGTCATCTTCAATATTTTATTGATGTTGGTATACATCCTGGTCATGTAACATCTGTATTATTACTTATTTTTGGTCTTCTTGCATTATCAACATTTATTATATTAACAATTGGTGTAATTAAAGTGAATAAATCATTTGCTGTTATAGCAGCTTCTTTATTAGGTATTTGTTCACTTGGTCTTATTGCACTTAGTATTTGGTCATTTTTAACTATAACAAGTGGTCAATTACCAGCATCAATTAATAGTACTATTGTTAATGAATTAGATCAAACTAAATATACAATGTCTGGAAATGAAATTATAATTAATAATACACTAAAAATGGAAAGATTAGAAAAACAACATCATTGTTGTGGTCTTACTGATCCTGTTGAAGATTATCGAAGTCGACAATCAGCTATATTTGGATCATTGAATCCTTCATCATCAAGTGGAAGTGGTCATGGTAGAAAAACTTCTGCTACACAGCGAAATACAGCAACATTTGGATCATCTGTACAATTACCAATTAGTTGTTGTAATGAAAAATATCTTTCAGAAGATAATTTATGTATTGATATGTTTGGAAATAATACGAATCCAATAAATCGTTATAATACTATTGGATGTTATGCTGTTGTTGCTCGACATAAATTTGAACGTATTCAACGGCACGCTTTTGTAGCTATTATAGCGGGATGTTTAGCTGTGATTAGTTGCATTGCTCTTGCAGCTGTTGTACGACTTTTGGGTGAAGGTTATCAAATTGTACCATTTCGTACTGCGAAATAAACATTGATCAATATAAACATTACAAAACTTTTCTTTTTCAAATCTTTTTTCTTTTTTATTCTTTTCATTATACATATTGATGTGTCTTATTAATAAAAATAAATTCTATCGATTTGATTTCATTAAAAATTATGTTTCATTCGATAAAAGTAAATATTTCTTAAATTAGAATGTTATAATAAAAATTATCATTCCATTAAAAAACTCAAATTCAAATATGAAACATATTCGAAAATTAAATTTATATATTTTCAAAGTTAAGATATAAATTAAATAGATTTTATCTGTCAAACTTATTCATTTTCTTGTATTCACTTTAAGTAATTGACTCAAGTCGATATAATAATATTATAATAATACGATATGAGTGATTATTATTTTACGTGACAGCAAGTTTTCATCATTCTTTCTTTTGATCTGGTTTTTTTGCTGTTGATTTCACAAAAGATTTGCATATTTGATCTAATTCTAATAACAGTAATAGTAGAGCCTTTTGCGTGTTATTCTTCATAAGATTTGTTTCTAACTAGTAATATTTGTTTTTGCGTTCTTACTCTCCTTCTTCTTCTTCTCCTTCTTCTTCGTCTTCTTCATTTTCTTCTTTGTTCCATAGAAAATGAGATCATTCAGTCGATGGAAACAAATTTATGAGAAATATTTATATCCATATTGATATAATTAAATCTTTATAATGCAAGGTACATTCAACCATCTCTTTTTTTGTTTTTTTGTTCTTTCAAACAATGGGGATCGTATAATATGTTTTCTATTTTCCTGAAGAAAATGTCTTTCGGAAGAAAAGAAAGAGAGAACGACATTTAATCATCGAAAAATTCAATTGAGACAAATGATCATTTCGATGTTTTTTATGTAAAGGTCTTTATATAATAGATTTATAATAGAACGTCCTAAGAATTAGAAACGTCAATAAAAAAAAAAAAAGAAAATAGGATTTTCTTCGTCTTCATCATCTCCGGCTTTTTTTTTCTTCTTCGTCTAAATGAAATCGAGCTCGCCATAGTAAATAGAACTCTTGTTTATATGTATTTCATGTCTACATTCCAATTTCCCATGAGAAAGATGGCTTCAGGCTATAAAGACATAGAAGAATTGGGTGCTAGAGTAAATATTAAAATGACATATAGGCATTTGAACATGATAAGAACTGATCAAAACGAACCATTCAACTTGAGAGCCATTACAATATCTATTAGAGTTATACAGGATGGAAATAAAAAAAAAATCGGATAAGCTAAAAAGACAATTATTTGACAAATGTTAAGCTAGAAAAAAAAAGAAAAAACCATCCTGAGGAAAAACAACACATATATCCGATAAAAATACAACAACAACAACAACAACAACAACGACGACACTCAATAATATGACTTTCTTCATCGCTCATTTTCATTCAATTCCTTCCTTTTTTCTCTTCTCGTTCTTTTTTTGTTTTCATCGTTCTATATCTAATGCGATCTAACAATGTCAGATTATTTCTAGTAACTGAACATTTCTCGCGGTGCATGCAGGCATATGTGGTTTCCAAAGCTAGAGTTTGTTTTGTCGAGAATATCCTCAAATTCTCGGAAGATGACACAAACGGAGAAAAAGCATAAGAAATAGCGATAAGGAGAAAAAAGATTAGTTATGACTTCTTCTAATGGTAAGAATTAGCAAGATTTTCTTTTCATAATAGTTGCTTGCGAAGATTTTTTTTTTCTGTATTTCTTCCTTTTACAATATGCTATTTAAAAAAAAACGTTGATCGATTGCTTAAAGATAATCGTATAAAATTGTTTTTTGGTGATGCCTCACGGGCATAAACACTTATATTTATGCAACGTGATATGCTGAACTAGAATATTTTCATCGCTTAATGAGAATCAAAAAAAAAACAATAATAAGTGATAGTCTATGTAGATATTTACTAAGCTATAACTTATTAAAATAATTATTGTTTGTTCCGTATAGATTTTTTTTCAGATACAAAATAATGTGTGATCAACCAATACAGATAGCGGTCTTAGGTGATAAAGCTGTTGGAAAAACAGCTATTGTACGTCAATGGCTATACAATGATTTTTCAACACCATATTCCGAAACGAATTTAGCAACCTATCATTTTACATCATTATTTAATGGTCAACGTTTATTTCATATACGTATTATTGATACACCACGTTTTGATGATACCAATAATACTGATCCTCAACAAGAATGGGTACGAATGTATTGTTTTCGTCGTGCACATCTTTTTTTATTAGTATTTGATATAAATCGTGAAGAAACATTTAATTATATAAAACATATTTACCGTGAAATAGTTCGTGTACGTCTTGGTTATAGCAATAATAATCATCAATATCATCATCATCATCATCATCATTCTCATTCCCATTCTCATTCTCATTTCCATCATCAATCAGAAATTTTAGTTGATCTTACAAATGATGATGACGATCAAATAATAACAAGAACAACAACATATGTACCTATTATTGTTGTTGCTAATAAAGTTGATTTAATATCAACTGATTTACGTTTTTCAAATATAACATTAACAAATTCACGTGATATACAACAATATGTAAAAAAAAATTTTAAAGCTAATATAATACAATGTTCAGCTAAATATCATTGGCATTTAGTATTATTATTTAAAGAAGTTTGTCGAATGTTAGAAACTGTTGAAGATACTGTTGCTAAACAAGCTGCACAACAAGCAAGAAGACGACTTCATCAACAACATCATGACAAACATTGTCGTGTTATGTAATATATAATTTTCTTTTCTTTTTTTTTTCATAGCTATTTTTCTGTCAAGTAATCTATTCATTGTTGGAAAAAGATAGACAAGTTTTTTTTTCCTTTTCATGCAACATTAATTAACATTGATGTCTATTTGCCTTATCGATGTCACTGGTTTTTTTTTGTGTTGATTTAACCTAAACAATAAATCAACGTTTACAAACATCTGAGATGTGTCTCTATCTTGCAAGAAAAAAAAACCCGTCGAACAGCATTCACAATTGAAATAAACATTAAATAATACGGAAAATGTTTTATTTAAGTCAATATGCTCAATAAGAAAAGTAAATGAATGGAAAGACACAAAAAAGTAAAAGTTAATTATATTGCTGCTCATATCTCAATGGAAGCGGAATAATATGTGATGTTCTTAACTATGTTACTCTCAGACAGAACAAAGTGACTTTTTGTCTTACTTTTGTAAATAAAGGAAAAGCTGATGCACATCAAATGTACTTTAACAAAATAATCGAAACAAGTCTACGTGCAAAAAAGACATTGCTTTCAATAAACAATATAAACAACGTCATATATGGTCTCTTCAATTGAGTTCCCTTGATGTCTATTAAAAAAAATAATACCTATTAGGTGAAATTATTTGTCGAAAAAATATACCCCATTAATAATGTTCATGTCAAAGACAATTATTAAAATGATATATTACGAATGAGTTAGTGTTGTTAATAATTATTGAAAATAATAATCATCATCAATGCCAATAATATCAAAAAATACATGACATCATGACTAACTTGATTTTATTCTGAAATAGTACAATCATACGCTCATGAGTTTGGTTTTTCTCTCTCTCTCTCTCTCTATCTGTGTTTAGTTGCATCTTACTCAAGAATGTATCTCTCAATTAGAACGGAAATATACCACTTTATGATGTTCATTTTTTATTACCTGCCTACGCATGTTTTTTCTTTTAACTACTTAGTCAGGATGAAGCGGGGGGGGGGGGAAGAGTGAAGGCAAGCTGACAAAACATGTGTGTATTATGGAATTATTATGTATTCATCAATGCTGCATGATTTTCTAAGAAATTGCAAAGTCAGGTATATGATTAATTTAAAATGCGTCATTTATAATAATGTCTTAGAAAAAATGGAAAAATGCCCTATTTTTCTACATCAGTTTCGGCGAAACGGTGACAAAGTACATAAACAAACGCTGAAGTATCATCATATGTTATTTTTCAATTTGGGAGACAGCTGTGTAATTTAAATTAACCTAGAAACATAAACCTGCTTTTGTATTCGTCTTTTTAATTATTTTTCGTCTTTGTATTATTTTTTCATTTGAAAATAAATTGCTTTCTTTTATTCAGCTTAAGAATTATCAATATACAAGAAAAGAACCAAAACAAAACACAATGTTCACATTTATTTTACTTATATGTATCTTCACATGTTTATTGGTTCTGTATCTAGTTCATATTCGTCGATGCTATTCGTTTTTTACACGGCTCGGTATTAATGGACCACAACCAATGTTTTTACTTGGTAATTTACCTGATTTTGTTCGTACAAAACGTATATCAATATGTATTCAAAATTGGACAAATCAATTTGGTCATATTTATGGTTATTTTGAAGGTCATACACCAATACTTGTAGTATCGAATCCCGATATTTTACATGAAATATTTATAAAATATTTTTCAAAATTTCATTCACGACGTCAATTTCCATTAGAAGATCGTCGTACAACAAAAGGTGTTCATTTATTTAGTGCTACCGGTGATCAATGGCGACGACAACGTGCTATTATTAATCCAACATTTTCAACACTTAAAATGAAACGAATGTTTCCAATAATCGATGATTGTATAACAACATTTTTAATTAAATTAGAAGAATGTATGAAAACATCATCTGAAGGTTTTGATATTTATAAATTATATAAACGTCTTACAATGGATCTTATTTGGAGATGTTGTTTTGGTATTAAAACTGATATGCAAAATGATCCAAATAATCCATATTTAAAACGATCTCAAGAAGTGTTTGCTAGAGAAAATTGCGCATATTTAGCAACATTATTAGGTATATTAATACCAGAATTACAACCAATTTGGTTAACAAGTCATTGTTGGATAAATTATATTAGGGCTAGATTACGCCGTCTATTGCCAATGGGTGAAAAATTAATTGAAGATGATCCAAATGAATGGCTTAAAGATAATGTTGGTTATTTTATTAAGAAAGCACAAATTCATCAAAATAATAATAATAATAATAATAATAATGATTATAATACTAACATAACTAAGTCAGCAGATTTAATTCATATAATGCTTGACGCAACAGAAAAAAGTTCCATCGATAATAAGCAGGTAAAGATTTTATTAGAAATCTCAGAAATTTCTTTTATTCAAAAAAAAAAGATGATAAATTCTAAAGACAAATCTTTATTCTATTTTCTCATGCTTACATTTGAAAAAAAAAATCTTTCAATATGTTTTTCTTTTCTTCAATGATTTTAGCATGATCATACTGAACGAATTTTATCATTAAATGAACTAAAACAAAATATTTATTTATTTATGGTAGCTGGTTATGAAACTACAAGTACAGCTCTTGCGTATGTTACTCATATATTAGCTACACATTTGGATGAACAAAAAAAATTACAAAATTATATTGATTCTTTTTTAAATGTTGATAGTATTCTTGATTATGATATTATTAATAAAATGGAATATCTTGATTGGTTTATTCGAGAAACTTTACGTATGTATCCAATAACACCAATTATTATTAATCGAGAATGTTCAGAACAAATTGATTTACCTGGTTTAGGTCGTATTTTACCAGGTACTAAGATTACACTTGATATGTATAGTTTACATTATAATAATGATTTATGGGGACCAGTGGATACGAAAAAATTTTATCCAGAAAGATTTGCAACTAAACGGCATCCAATGGCATGGGTAGCATTTGGTGTTGGTCCTCGTAATTGTGTAGGCATGCGATTTGCTCTTGCTGAAATAAAAATTGTAATAATACGTCTTTTACAAAACTATACAGTATTACCAGCATCAATGGATGATAATAATTTAGATCTAGTTGAACTAGTAACAATCTCACCAAAACAAGTATCAATTCGGTTGGAACAACGAACAGATAAATAACGATATTTTCAAAATAAAAATTCCAGTGATAGTTTTTTTTTCTTAATTAACAAAAGAAAAATTATCATTGTCAATCATATTGACGTTAACTGACATAGTCATACTTAGAAAAGAAAAAAAGAATTTCTCATTATTATATTAGTTCATTTTATTTGTATTTTTGTTGTAACGTTGTTTTGTTGTAATAAAGATCACAAGATTTAAAACTAATGAAACATAATTAATGTTAAACATATGTTACTTATCGTATTGATGTACAAACATAAAATTGTTTTATTCTATTTTAAAAATATCTTTATATTCACTTTTTTGATTAAAAATAAAATTCCATAATTTTATTTTTTTTTCATATTATGCTATGTCATGTATGCCAAAGATTAATAAATCTCAAGATTTTAAAGAGTCCATACAAAATTTTCTCAACTCCACTTATCAACGTACTCAAAACAAGTCTTTATTTTTATATGTAAATGTCCTTGTGACCGTTAATAGATTAATTCAAGCATTTTTTTTGTCTTCCTTTCCAAGACAAAGATCGCAATTTGTGCAAGTCGTCTTGTGATAATTCGTCTAGTATGGTCTAATGAAATACACTCATTGAACTTAACATATGATATTAATTGATTTTCTTTTTTTTTTTATAGTAGATGAGAATCAGAAAATTTTCTTTTTCAATCTACTAAAATTAGACACATATTTTACAAAAACAAAAAAAGTAGATTTGCTTATCATTATATAAAATATAATTATGAAAAGAAGATTTCAATCTATATAATAATTAAATCATCCTTTTATGCTAAAATTTATAAATTATTGAACAAGATATAAGCAGATCAATAGAAACTGAGAAAAAAAAAAGTCGTAGTGGTAGAAATATTTCTTCTAAGGAAGTTATAAATACAAATTAGTCCTCTATCTTTTGGAAATTACAAAGACACAGACGATTGGTTGATGTCATACTCGGAATGATATGTAGGAATAAATTGATTCGATTTATATGATAGTCATAGCTGCGAATATATATTTTTTTAAATATCTTAACTTTAGTTGTTAAAGAAAATAATTGTTTTTCTTCATGTCTTTAATTCGTATAATTTTTTCTATATAAATTATTCGTAAATTTTTCCGAATAATCTATATAATATTGTTATATTATTTATTGTAAACAATTATCTAATTTATTATTATAATGATTTCAATAAGAATTAAATGTAATCATTTATGACACATAATTATTCAATTAAAAAGATTTATATCTTAAGATATTGAATATAATGACTACAAAAAATAAGGAAGTTTCTTTTAATGATTTTTCAGAATGATTAATGAATATTCTCATGTGGATCAGTTGATTCGAGATGAAAAATCGTTCAATATATGTTGATCATTTTTTATTCTTAATCTATTCTTTTGATCTATAATCGTGTAAATATACTAATATACTGAACAATATTATCCTTTATTCATTGAATGCACTAATTCATTGAAGTAACTTTTCTTCTTTTTATCACAATATATGTTATACATATACATTTATTGCGTTAAAAAATTTCTTAAGAATGTTATAGTTATTTTCTATAAATATAAATTTATTCTAAGCAACATATATTATCGCGTGCTTGTATTTTGGATTAACTTGTGCGGAATACAGAAGATGCGACCTAGCGAACGCAAAGAAAGAGAGTGATTCAAAAAGCACTCATCGAATAGCTTAGTTATGCACATGCACATTCGACTTCTTCGTTTCTTTATTGAGCCATCCTTTTTCTTTTTTTGCTTTCTTCTCTCAATTCTGATCGCTAACATTTGGTATGTCTGTCATTATTTGTTTGTAATGAATAATGATCACTAGTATAACTGACCGTCAGGACGAAAGAAAAAAACAATCACTATAATAGTTCGTTTATTTCTATTGGCTTTTTATCGTCATCAGTTTACTCTTATGAATAAAAGAAAAATAATAATAATTTCATTTATATATATATATATATATATATAGATATATTTTAGACGAAAAACTCAATGTCAATTTCTTCTTCTTCATCATCATCTTCTTCTACGTCACCACCGGCGAGCACAAGACCAAATGATTATTTTGACTTACCAGAAGAAGCTAGAGCCGACGACCAATATGTAGTCGAAAAGGTGCTTGGTAAACGACGAAATCGAAATGGAAAATGGGAATATTTACTTAAATGGGCTGGATGTAAGTTTTATTTATCTTTTTTAAATATTTTAACAGCGTATTTCCAAAATAACATCTTATATCAATAGAGGTCAATGATTTTGACGTACTCATATATATATATATATTTCATTATTGTAGAAAAAACATAAAGAAAATAACATATTGATATGTATGAAACATCGAGTTATTATTTTGTCATAACATCAAAAGTTCTTATTTTTTTCATTGGAGAAGGCAGTTAGAGAAGTGTAATACTTGTAAAATCTTATCATTTATTAATTAAAATTAATCATATTGATATTTTGAAGTAGTATAGAATTTTAGAAATTGTAGTTCAGTTATTTAATAAATCATTTTCTTGAGTACATTTTCTCGTCTTTATCTATATTTCTGAATTCATCATTGCAATGATGATGACTAATGTTTAATATGATCAACAAACGAAAAGATTTTAATCATAAATTTTTTGAATAATTTATATCCTGATAAAAAGAAAAAGAGGATATTTTTCATTTTCTAATTCCAAGGGAATTCTTTTTATTGTATTTTTTTGTTATCTTTCAGTTGGTAATGACGATAATACATGGGAAGCTGAACATGATATTCATCCTGAGTTAATTGCTGATTTTGAACGACAACACGTTGAATTAGATCCATCAAATCCAGTTTATTCAACATTAGATGAAGATCCACCAATTAAATCACGTGTATCATCATCAAATCGTTCAGTATCACCACCAGCTAAGAAGAAAAGAAAAACTTCAAATACTGTTTCTTCAACACCATCAACAACAAAAATAAAGACAACAACAAATGAAACATCCCGAAAAGTTTTTGGTGTAGAAAAAGGTTGGCGTGTACGAGCAGTTATTGGAGCAGCTAAACAACAAGATTCATCAGTATTATATGCTGTTGATTATGTAGAAGGTTCACCAGTATTACGTGAATATGTACCATCAAATATTGCTCATATTTATATACCACGTGAATTAATAGAATTTTTTCAAAAAAAAATTGTTTGGAATTCATCAAATGAAAACAAGAAAACTTAAGTGAGTGTACTGTGATTTGTATATTTATATACATATTGTTTTTCCTTTGTTTTTTTTCATGTATCATATGTTATCTTTCATTATATATATTTCATGTCTTGAGTTTTTTTCTTTTTTGTCTCTATTGTTCTTTTTTTTTTTGTTAATGGTAAATTAACATATACGTATATATATATATATATAGATATATATAAATAGGTACGATGAACAGCGAACTCTAGAAAATGATTTTTATTGGCGAAAGATTTTTTGACCAATCAGATGAAACGACGAAGTCGAGGTGCACGTGCTTTCGGGTGCAATATTTATTTAGTACGCACCCGATAGCGAGCAGCTTACTATATATATATATATGTGTATTATTTTTTATCTTTGCCTAACATATGGTTTTTATTCAGTCTGATATATTGAAAAAAAAACATAATTTTAGATTAGTTTAAGATTAAAAAAAGGTCAACGATGAGCAGTACTGAAGGTATTCCAATACGCCGACTTATTGTACATGATCCAAAAGATATGCCCCTTCATTATGGTGAAACACCAGGTGGCAGTATTTTTTCAACAACTCCAGGAGGTAAATTTTTTTTTCTTCGATCAAAATTTTGTAATGGCAATTAATTATTTAGGCACTCGTATTTATTATGACCGAGCGTTTTTACTGTCTCGTCGTGATTCACCTATGGCACGTTCACCACCTCGTTTACCTTATATTCCGGAAGGTAAGTGTATCATTTTTATTTGAAGATAAGGAATATGTTCAAGGATGAAAGTAAATATAAGGCAATGAATGAGATTAGATATGTGCAATACGAAAGAAATTAAATATATCGAGACCTTTGAATCGATAATAGTAACTTTTTTTTTGTTCGTATATAGTTACATTGATTCCCGACCCGGAAAAGCGTGGTAATGTTGTTGAAAATGGTGTTAAAACAGACAAAAAAGAAAGATCAGAATTATCGGGTGATAAGTCGAATTCGTCAACAACTGCACAGCCACAATCAACACCGGCTAAAAAAGGTAAAATAATAAATTATTTTACTTATACAAAAACAAAAAAAATAATTTTTTTGTTTTGTTTTGTTGTAGAAGGTGATGATCAATTTTCAATGGACATGTGATCTTCGTTTCTTTTGTTGTATGATAATAAAAAATTATGTATGGAACAACAAAGAGCAGGAATATATAAACTGATATCATTACCGTTTTGTTTTTTCCTTCTTATATTATATTCGTGTCCTTTGGATACAGAACAGTCCCTTTCTTTTCCGTTTGTTCATCTTCTTTTGTTTTTTTTTCCTCCGGTGTGTGCTTATTTTGTATTCTATATACGAAGTTGTTTGAATGGGTGTTATTAGATTAGTTCTCTGTTTGTTTGTTCGTTCTTCTGTTTATTTTTTATTGTTTGTCTCTGTGTTATTCTGTCAACGAACTTGTCATTGTGTGCTTCATATACAAAAGCTCGTCTTGCTCAAAACAGAAAATTGAGAAGAACATAATCTTCTTTATTGTCGTTGTTGTTGGTATGTTACGTTTTGCTAGTCTATTAAAGCAAACTAACCGTTTTTTTGTTTTGTTCGCTGTTTTTTTTTTCTGGTGTGACAAAAAAAAAATAAATGAAGAGAAAGTTGATTTTGTGTGATAGCCATGCGGCTAACATTTTAGAATTTAGAAATTATTGATTTAAGTTTAAAAATAATCAATGAAAATTATTAAAGAATACAAAGCTTTAAACAATGAAATAATATTAATTTATGAAGGCAATGAAATATTCATATTTATTTAATTATTAATACTAATGATAATTATTGTAATTGTAAGTATACATAGCTATTGACCGTCAAAGTATAATATTCAATAGAATTTGTCAATCATTTATTTTTCTATTTTTGTGATAAGACTCTTGAATAGAATAAGTGAATACATTAGACATACGCTCTATAGTTTTATCACTATGAAAAATTATTTTGTTCATCGTAAAGGACAAAATTATAATAAATATAATTTTCGAATGAGTAAGTTACATATGATTTTGATGATAATATTATTTGACTTGTGCATGAAATAACATGTTGATAGCTTACGAGTTATTATTCAAGGTTGCATCTGCATTGTTTTTCTACTTTAGCACATGATGACTATCATACGGATATATTACATAGATTGCGATGCTTTTGTGTAGAACGAAAAAAGGAACGCAAAATTTTTCGTTGGATTTTGTGAATGATTAAGAAAATAAATAGAATTTGACAATTATTTTATTCATGTCAAAGAGACTATTGAAAATTTAGTAAAAGGATTAATTTTAAAAGGAAACTTTTATTTATTTAAGATATAAACTGCCCCTTCTCCGCGTGATAGAAGACTCCATTAAAAGGAATTTCAGAAAATCGATATGATTTTAAGAATTTGGGAAGATATTTTTAGAGCTTTAAAAGTCTAGAAATAATGCGAACATCAGCCTTTTAAGATTTTCAGGTCAAAACTCTGAAAACTAGGCATATTGTGACGTAAATATACTACTCAAAGTTCTAATGTTTTTGAGAAATTAATTAATGAAGGCTTGAATAAGTCATTCAAATCATGAATATCAAAATAAAATCGACAATAGAATCTAGCAGATGATTATTGCTCAATGTATCTTTTTTTTGGTTTAATAATGTCAATATCTTCACTTTATTCTACCTGAACTGCTATATAAGAATGAAATCTTTGAACTGGAAGACATTAATTTAGATTTGAATTCCATTTATCTACAGTTTGAATCAAAAATATAAGACGAATGTAGTTTTGAACTTCTTTATTTGATACCAGGCATCTCACTCAAATCGAAATAGTGGTTTGAATAGTCAGTGTATTTCTCTATCAAATGCATTCCATACCAAAATTTCATGGATGGACTATAAGAGGAAGGTTTCCGGAAAACTAAACACGGTAGTTTTCAGATTCCGGACGATTGTTAAGAGTACCATCTTAAAGACTACAAAATCTTGAAAAAAATGAATACTTGCCAAGTTTCCTACGGTCTTCCTTTAAAAAGTTATAAGCATCATAAAAAATGAATAACAAGCGAAATTTATCATAGCATTACTAGAAAAAGATATTTTGTTATTTTTTGTGATGCTTATAATTTCTTTTTAAAGAAAGGCCATAGGAAATGTGGCAACTATCCATTTTTTTTCAAGATTTTGTAGTCTTTAAGATGGTACTCGGAAGAGTCTTCTGCAATCTGAAAACTACCGTGTTTAGTTTTTCAGAAATCTTTCTCTTATACCCCATCTATGAAACTTTGGTATGGAAAGGATTTGATAGAGAACTACACTGACTATTCAAATCACTATTTAGATTTGAGCTACATGCTTGATATCGTAGAAAACAATAAAAACAATTCATTGGTCTTTCAGCGAACTAAAAATTTCTTATTATTATACTTTATTTTTATAGTTTTTCTTAATCACTTTTCAAAATTGTAGTTAGTCAATATTTTATAAATTTTCACTAAAACCACAATTATGAATAATTTAATTTATTAGAAATTTATTCTTTGTTTGAATTGATGACCATACAGTTAATAGTGAACAGTTAGTTAAAATTATGATATTATCAGTCGATATAATAGTAACAAGATGCAAACGTTAGTGTGTCATTATTTTTCATAAGATGATCGCGGTCTTTACTCTTTAGTATAATACGGTTATTAAGATTAGTGTAAATCTTATAAGCTCCTTGATTTTTTTTTGTTAACTTCTGATAATAAACAACATTCTTATGAATAGAAAATGTGTCAGACAAAATTTGATTAATAATTAAATTACTTTAAATTTTTAAATGCATTCAAGTATAATTCTGTAGTTCAACATCAATAATTAGTTTTATTTGAAATAGTTAGAACATATCAAAAATACTGATTTTAGTATTATATTACTCCATGCAAAGAGATCAAAGAAAATTTCTTTTCATATGTACTTGTAATATCAACAATGTTTTTTATTTCTCTAATGTGTCATCATCATTCAGCTCCCATAATCATATGAAAAATATCAATGACAATTTTGTATCCCTATTTTAGATGCACAAGGAAATTTTTTGTTTTTACATTAAACTGTATACTGCACTTCATATCGAACCAAAGTTATTCATAACAAATTATATTCTGCTTTCGGCATCCAAACTCCATCTTACAGTACAGTCATAAAAAATGGTCAAGATAGTTTCGTGAAGGTTGAGAACAGGTTGAAGATGAACCGTGACCTGTGTGACGTGTACTCGAAACAACGTTAGAAAATCTTCACGAAGTTCGTGTTCTCATCGATGATGACCCTCATCTTATATTTAATGAAATACAAGTGAAAATTTATCTTAGTCACAACATCATCGAGCGAATCACTTCTGACTACTTAAAGCTAAAAAGATTACTGCTCGTTAGATACCCAGCCGACTGACTGATGCTCAACGAGCTGAACAAGTTTGCATATGTGATGTAATGACGGATGATGAGTTGTGGTTTTATCATAAATAAATTAGTAGAAATGCATCAAATGCTACCCAAATAGCCAGCGAAGAGACTCCATCAACTGTGATTGGACAAAGCAGCTTCGCTCCAAAAACATTGTTTTCTATATTTTTTAAGACAACTGACCCTGTTTTATACCATCGCGTCGAACAAGGACGATCTGTCAATTATTACTATTACATCCATAATTACTTACAACTTGTCAACAAAATCAAAAGGCAAAGACCGTCGTCTGGTACACATGCCATCAAACATCACCTTGATAATGACAGGCCACATATTCATGAAGATGTGTTTATCTATCTCAAATCGGAAGACATCTAAATTATACAACACTTACCTAATTCGTCGAACTTGGTACCATGCAATTTCTGGCTATTCGACTTGATCAAACAAAATCTGACTGATTAAAATGATGATTATAAAAAAAAAAACTTTTGATAAACGTATTGAACAAATGAAATTATGTGTAAATAATCAGGACCATTGCTTCGAACATTTGATGAAATAAACATTAGTTTACCTTTTTCTCGAAATTTTTTTTTCTTTAAATAGTCAGTACTTTTGATATGTACTAAGTATACATACCCCTGGACAAAAGTCTTCCATGCAAGTTCTCTTTTATAGAACCTCTTGAATCTCAAGTGAATGTTGATTATAAGAATGATTTAAATACTGTATTCTAATGTAGTGTATGATTAATTACAATCTGCTTCAATGAAGAACGTACATCATTCAATACAGTCGGTTAACACTACAAATCACTTGGCCGATAAAATACAATGGCTAAGTTATCTCTTTTTGTAGTATTTTCTGAATTTTTTTCTAGTTTTACTTTATCTGTATTTGTATAATCGAATATATTGCATTCTTACAAGAGCTTCGAATCAGCGACGAAGAGAGTATAATGATCCATACTAGTAAAACAGTCAGCAGATAACAAAAAAAAAAGACAACCTTGCCATGAAATATTCTGTCAACCAACGCATTTGTAGTATTGCTCAGTTCTAATGAAAGATGTATATCCTTTATTGAAGCAATTTGTCATCAACCATACATTACACTACAATAAAGTACTTAAGCCATGCTTGTTACTAAAATTCGCTTGAAATCAAAGAGGTTCTATACAAAAAAAAGATGAGGAAGGGAAAAGACATTTGTCCAGCAGCGTATAACAAACAGAATGATCGTATAGATACAAAAAGTATTCATTTCGATTGAATATATCCATGAATACAATAATACATATTGCAGTTGTCCAAACATGAATAATAAATCTAATATAATACTATGCATGTTTTAGAAAACTTATAAATTTCATTCAAAATTATTTCAATTGACTAAATTAACTCTTTTCACATTTGGAAAGTTTCTATTCAATTTCAGTATATGTATGTACGAAATTTATTTTTCAACGAAAGGCACATTAAAAAACATCACTGCAAAAAAAAAAAGCATATTTCATAAAAATTTTATTACACATAAGACTATGTCAGTCTTTCGATTTACGTTTTTCTTTGTTTCTTACCAGATACGTAATTTTATCACGGATTAGTAATAAAGATTAAATGTAAATACTATATATTATAAAAAAAAAAACGAATGTTTTATTTTATCCATCTTTGTTTTGCATTATTGGTAATCATTCGTCGTCGATAAAATGAACATGTACGTTCACATTCACTACGAGAGTTAAAACGATTTTGATTACCACCACAACCACCCCAAAAGAAAATTTGACATGAACCTAATTGAGCATTAAAAAAATATTGCTCAATGCTTGCTTTACAAGGACCAATATCCGGATTTTGTAAACAAATTGACAAACCACCCATTATTGGTGGTCTTGTCGTATAGGATCCAAAATTTCCTGAATAGATTAAAATTAACGTTAGAAATAATTCGATTACGAATGAAACTATACTGACCGGGACTAGTTGATGTACTAATTTTTTTCATGAAAACATTTATCGGATTGATTGATGCTGGTATTAATTGTACTGGAGTATATTGATCATTGATATAAAGTAATTGACCATCTTTTTCAATTCGAGCTTGAATAGCATATTGTCCAATACCATTACCATTCATCTGTACTTGTGCCATTGAATATGGAATTTCAAAAGGTATTGGAAAACGATAAGATCCATATAATACAAGAGTATTTAAAGGTCGAGATGGTGCATCTTGAAGAGAAACATCTGCTAATGATACAACTATTTGTGAACCAAATGGTAACATAGATGTATCATCACTAATAAGGTTACCACGAATACGTTGTTGATCTAATAAATTAGTTCAATATAGTAAAGCAAGAAATAAACTTTATATAAATTCACTTTGCTACATACTTTGAGTTCCGAACGTATTAGTTTGTGGATAAAATGGTCTCAAATTATAATTATTATATGGATATTGCTGTTGATATTGTTGTTGCTGTTGTTGTTGTTGCCATTGTTGTTGTTGTTGAGAATAATATTGTGCTTCTACAGATGATAATAAGATAAATATAACAATATAAAACATTTTTGTTGTGCGTATATGATGATCAATATAAGAAATAATGCAAAAGAACAGCAGTGAATTTAGACTTTTATATTACACTACTACTATCAATCTTTGTGTAAATGTCATGATCTATTCTCCTACGCTTCTTTTTTTTATCATCCTAAATCGAATAAGACAAGCAAAGAGAAAAAGAAAATAGCTCGGCTTTCGTATGAAATCAATGATAGATATTAGTATTGTTCTTATGGTCCCAATGAAGATCGATGTATATTGATGTTTATTTGTATGCGATAAAGGTTATTAGATATTATTAAACGAATGCAAAAAAAAAGCATGACTTCAGGAAATTCTATTGACGTCATTTGAAAAGTTTATGTGGGCAATATATAATAATCCTATAAGATTCATTGGATAGATTAATCTTTTTTTGATCAAATCAGTTAAATTGTGACTAACCTACGCGAATTTATTTTTATCTGAAAACACTTCATTAAAGATAGAGTTTTATTCTCGAAAAGTTTTCTTGATCTGTTCCAAAGCCTGGATTGAATTTTTGTTCTACGATTTAGATGTTCACGTGATACAATGAAAATTTATTTCCCTAGAGAATTCTAATATGTAAATACTAAAATCAGATAAAGAAACATAATTTATAATTGAAATAATTCTTTGTTAGAGTTCTATTTAGGTTCAACTGTTTGAAGTCCACCCCGACCAGATTCGGCGCAGTGAAGCTGAAACTTGAAAATTTGATTCCTTTGTTTAACTAGTTTCTTTGAATATGTTTACTCGAGAGAAATATGAAATTTTCTATTGTGGTACAGAAATACACATAGTAATATTATCAAGAGAATCTCATGAGTATTATTCTTACATACAGATGTTATGCGTCTAACTTTACTATGAAAATATGCTGACCTCGTCACGCCTTGTTTTTTTTTTAATAAAATAAAAGCTATTAAAAGTATTAACCATTAACACACGATTCAGAAGTGATAGTATGCATATTGATTCCTATGTCTTATTGATAGAGATGTTCTTAAACAATCATACGAAGTAAAATAATTGTCGACACTAATGTTCTTTTAGTAATAGAGTATGCTACAATGAAAATTATTTTCTATATTCGTATCAAAAACGTCTCTATTTGAAACGTAATAAAATCAATAGTTATCTTATCACTATTGGATCGAATGACATAGGTTAACATTTTCAAAAAAAATTAGAAAGAAGAATAAGATAATTTTGTTCTTGTGCTTTTCATATTATTTCAGGTAATATTACCTAAAATTTTACAGTTATTTTGAAGTATATTGATACAATGATCCATCTTGGTTTCTATGGATTTCGTTCATATTTTGAAGAACGACAATAAATTGTAAAATAATTTCATAATTCTTAGAATCATTGCTATGATATATATATATATATATATATATATACATCATATAAATAAATGGCTTTATAAGCATAGATTTTAAATCAATCGTAAAAAAAGTAAATAAAGAGTAAGAAATCACCTTAGCAAAAATGAACACAACTTTGGTTTTTCTACAGTTTAACCAGAATCCATCCGCGATTCGGATCAGATCGGATTTGAGAAGTCTATTCAATGTCAATGTTATATATTTGTCCAAGAATAAAAATCTGATTTACACAATTATTGTTCTTTCCGTATCATACTAAAAGAATCAACAAATTAAGAATAACTAGTTCAAATAGTATTTCTTTGTTTTTTTTAAATTATTCAAAGAATCATTTAATATTTGTATATGTGTGTGAATAATAATAATTAGTAATCAATCACCAACAGTAAATGTAAAACGATTGAAGATGAAGATCACAAGAAAAAACTAAAAGCATTGAAAGTAAATTTAATTATTCAGACAACAAGAACAGTTTTGACGAAGAAAATAAATGCAATTATTGAACCGAGTACAAGACCAATAATAAATGTAATAAGTGACCATCGGATAGCTTTTTTATAAAATATTGTTGCTTCAGCATAAAATCCTTGACTATGTGCTCGTACGGCACGAGCTGCGTAAACAATAGCAATAATTCCTGAATAAAAAAATAACTCCATATAACATGTGCTATTCACTTGAATGATTTTTTTATTTAATGTTCAAGAAATCACTCACCCAGAATGGGACAACATGCTGATGAAATAAGAGCACAAGCTAAACTTCGTTTGGGATGTGTTTCATCTTCTACTTCATCTATTCGATATCGCTCTAGAAATTTAATATAAAGAAGAACAGAAACTATAATATAATGTAATATCATTTAAAATAACCTCCTATATCATTTTCAATTTGTCTTGTACTTGTAAATTTTGCAGATGATGTACATCTATGACCAGTTTGTGTTGATGTAAATGCTCGAGAACCAAACATTTTATCTGATAAATAAATGTAGGAAACAAATAATTGTTATTAGACTAAAACAAAAAAAAAGAAATCAAACATGAATAAAACGTCCAGATGTAATGCTAAAAAATTCCTACAGGACGTGTAAACTCTCGGGAGAGGGAGAGTACATATGCGTTGTCGTATACAAGTATAGATGCATAATCTTTGTCTCTAATCAGCCAAGCAGTGAAGATGATGAAAGGCACGAAACAAAAAAAAAAAAGAAAAAGAGAAGAAATATGAGGAGAAAAAAAAGCAGTTTGTATTGTCCGGAAGAACTTGAACTGAATCATCGTCATCATCATCATCACTATATATATTTTCTAGAATATGTCACTAGAGATTTTCACAAAAACAAATACTATTATATTGACTCAGTAAGGCTATTCTTTATAATTATCATGATGATTTTTTTTTTCTATGTTATTTTTCTTACTAACATAATATATATGATAAACAATAATTATCTATCACAGTCAACTAGGGAATAATCAAGAACAGTATGAATATTAAGTAAGATTATCTTACTTATTTTGATGGTAGATTTCAAACTTCTGAATAAATAGGAAGTTACGAAGAAAACAAAAAAAGGAAAAAATATCTATTCAATTATTTGCATGACATTATTACTTCGAGAAACTTGGATGAAGCCAATAATAATGACATAAACTACGTACACACAGAAAGAGGAAGAACATTCACTTTGCACAAGACTCGATTTATGTTAAGTTGATGTGAGAACACTTTGGGAAACGTAATCAATGACAGTATTAGGTCTCCTAGAGTAAATGTCTTGCTTCTTATGATTCTCACCATGACAACACATTTGTAGCTGAAAGATATATTACACATGTTATCGATGTTTGACTGTTGCATTAGTTCTTCTCCTCTAGTGGAATCCAAACACATCAATAATTGATGATTAACCAAGCGCAAGATGATGAATATATATATATATGTATATATATATAACGAGATCAACATATTGTTGTTATGTCGTCTCAACCAAAAAAAAAACGTCAAGAAAAAAAAACTCCTAATAAAAGACAACAATCTTATTAGATCCATAAGATAGATAGATAGATAGACGGATATAAAATGATGGCAGCTAATTGAGTCTAATATAATGATAGACCGGTGTCGACTTGTTTGATAAATGACATGCTAAGCTATGGGTGGAGAATCTTTAACAATACAACTTCATTGTGTCAAAACAAAACAAATATTAATTAATAGAAGAAAAAGAAGACCAAGAAGATGAAGAGAAAAATGTTTTATTATATATATATATTTTTCCGGATATTTGTTATTCATTTCCTATTTGTAATCAAAATTCCAATAATGATAAATTCTAACTTTTCTTTTTTCATTTATTATTTCATCCATCTCATTAATTTAATAATTAACATTTGTAGACTCTCTACATATATTCACATCATGATTTTTTTTATTCGAATAAGTACAGAAAACAACAACAACAACAACAATAATAACATCTTTTCAAAAGATACAAATACAAAAAAGAATTTTTTATAAATCAATTGTTAACATTCGATCGTATCAATAAACTATTCTTGTGTTAATTGTTTATAGAATTTTAATGAACGATCCATGCTTGAACTTGCTAAATAATTAGCATTTGAACCAAATCGAATACCAGTTGCTATAGCTGTATGATCATTAAATACTTTAAGTAAATCCCATTGTTTTGCTTGATAAACTCTATTTGAAAAAAAAAAACAAATAAACAAACAAACATCGAATAGATTAATACGAATTTAATGTCTATACACTCACCGAACATCAGTACCAGCTACACCAAGATACATTCCACTTTGATCAAAAACTAGATCACGTATCTTAGATAAATAAAGCAAAAATTATGTATATTAATTGATTTATGAATAAGTAAATCATACTTCATAACGATCTTCAAGTGTAATTGTTTTAAAATTTTTTAATTTACGTAAATCCCATAATTTAATTGATGCATCTTCCGCAGCTGTTGCTAAATAATATCCTTCAAAAACAAATAGACAGAGAATTTGATTTTTGTTTTGTACAAAAAAAAAAAAGAAATATGATTTTTTTTTACCATTTTCAGAAAAGGCAATGGTATTAATACTTCCAGCATGACCAGGAAAATCAGCAACATTATTACATTCTTTTAAATCCCAAATTTTAATAACACTTTCTTGTGTACCAATACCAAATATAATACCATCCGGATGAAATTGTGCACATGTTAATCCTAAGAAATCGAAATTTGAACAAAAATTTATTTTTGGTGTTTTTTGCCATACTTGGATAGAGCTTGTCAAGTTATCTCTAACACATGTTGTTTTTGACATATTCGAACAATGTTTTTATAGCAAAACTTAAGAAAATTTGATTTAAAAAAGCCTAAAAAAATTGAAATATGCTAAAAAGCATCATGCTACGGTGTCCTGAATATTTATCCGAATTTGATTTTACTTGTCATAGTATTTCATTGCTGAGAAAATCAGTTTTTTTTTCGATATGATAGCCAAACGTCATAAATACAAGCAGAGATTTTGTCTATCAGGACTTCAATTCGAAATGAGACGAATATCATATTTAGAATCAGCAGAAAAATTTGCATCGAATAATATACTGGATAGTTTTCGTCAAATTTCGGTCGTCACACCTCATCGCTGTTATTTCCAAATCATCTGACATGTGGTTCTCCTAAGATCAAAATTGGATGAAAACTTATTTTAAGCGTTGAGTATAATATTTAATACAGATTTTTCTGATGATTAAAATCTCTACTCGTATTAATGGCATTTTGTTATCATATCGAGAAAATCGATTTTTCCAACAATGAAACATTATTTTCGAAAAATTATGCGTAATAATTTTTCCGAACCAAATGACAAAATAAAAAAAAAAGAGATTTTATGTTTTTGATGTATTCAAATTTTATAGGCTTTTCTAATTTTTCTAATCTATTTTTTTCTTAAACTTCGCTACAAAAGTATTGTTCGCATATGACACAAACAACACGTGCTAGAGGAAACTTGACAAACTCTATCTACCCACAACAAAACAAAATTTTCCTCAAATTTCAAATTGCTGGCATCTTAAATATTTAACATAATTATATTCATACCTCTTTGTGAAGTTGTATCTTGAACTTTCGTTATTAGTTTACCAGTTCGTAGATCTGATAAAGCCCAATATGTATCACTTGCACTTGATAAAACATAATCACCAGTTGGATGAAGTGAAAGACCTGTTATAGGACTTTCATGAGCTTTAAGAACTTTTAAACATTGTGCTGATGGAATATGCCATACACGAATACTTGTATCAGAACTTGCTGTTATAGCAATATCCTATGGGAGAAAAAAAAGAAAGGGAAGAATCTTTTGTTTTTTTAAGAAACAAATTCTTCTAAAATCATATTTTATACTTCTTCAAAATGATGAATAACATGTGTAACTTTTTTTTGATGTCCTTTAAGTGTTGCAACAACTTGTTCATTATCTTTATTAAATACAACAGCTTGACGATCATTTCCACCAGTTAGAATTATACTGGAATTTTTTGGTGATATATCAAGTGCTAATATACCTGGACTACTAGCACTATGTAATGCCTAGAGAAAGAATAAAATAATACAAAACAAAAAAAAACAACAATGAAAAAAATTTAACGAACTGTATGTGTTGCTGAACAACGAAAATTTCTCATTTCATCAATAGTTGTTAAACCTTCTGGTACACGTTTACCACGTTGTTTACGTAATTGTGTTAAAATTGATGCTTTATCTTGTAACTTAAAAGATAAATTATTTATTTAATTTTTTAGAATAAATATTTAATTGAAATTACTTTTTGTATTATTTCATCATTCATGCCTTCAGCAGTTGTTATTGATGTTTGAGAAACATCAGTCATAGCCCCATGATGTACTGGTTGCATTGATTGTTCATTGACAAATTGCTAAAAAAAAATATGCAATTATTAATATTAAACATTCTCTTTGCTTTTCTTCTTTTTTTCTCGTATAGATTTTATCGATATAAATGTATTCAATCATATATAAAAATTAATTTATTGTTTATTAATTTCTATTGAATAAATCTTTTGACAAAAATGAATTCAACTTTCCAAACACTCTTATTTCATACAGAATAGATTTTTATAACTTACTGTTGGTACAGTATGTGTAATACCAGCTTGAGGTTTGAGTGTAGCTAAAGCTTCTCGTGCAGCTGTTACTTCTTTATTTAAACGAGCTATAACACGACAAGCTGCATCATGTTGATACATAACATGTGAAAGTTCTATATGATGAGAAATTATTATGATCATATATATTTTTTTTAATTAAAAATATAACCTTGTCTTGCTGTTTGTAATTGTTGACGAAGTGTAAAACTATGTAACATACAAGCATCCCATTCATCTTGTAACGTCTTAAGTATAGCTGGAATACTTGTTGCTGATGGTGGTTTTGGTTTACCAAGTGGTGTAACTAAATCAAAAGAAAAGTTTATTTGTTTATTTTTTTGTTTTCATCAAAATAAATATAGTTCAGTAATGTTTAAAGACTTTATTCTTAAATTACAAGACAAATAGATAACATTATTCAAAAAAAAAAAATTTATTAGTCAAATATATGGACAATACCAGGAAAAAAGGGACGTACATTCATCGTTCATTTGACCTTAGTTCTTGATAAAGATTATTTTTCTGAGAAGATTTTTAAATATAAACATATTAGCTCTTTCAGTTAACACTTAATTATAATTGATTAGTTAAAAAATAATTAGTGAAATATTTTTGTAATTGTTTGAGAAAAAAACTCAAGAAATTTAGAATAGATTCTATGCTACAGGCTACATATCTATGGTAAAATTTTTCTTAAAAATTTCTACTTAAAAGCCAGTTGCCTAGAGATTCTATCGTGTCCCGAAGCATAAATTTTTGTTTTGCCATCAATTGAAAATTCTCGAGTTTTAAACCTCTCATTCAGTTATAAGTAGTATTGTTTTCGTTTGTATATATCCGTAGTCTATCATGTCGCTAACAAAAAGTAAATCAAATTTTTTTGAAAAGTCTAAATTTATTGGAAGAAAAACTTTGAATAGAAGTTTTGTAGCATCAATTGTCGTCTACAGAATGTACTATTTAGTTTTCAAAAATGTTGTGTCAATTCGCACATTTTTTCTAATTGAAATGTACCCAGTGAAAACTGACGTCCTTCTTTTCAGTCATGTCACTAACGCTAATTATTACTGACAACTTATTTCAACAGACGATTGTACAGCTGAGCTTTTCAGGATATCTAGAGTAATTCAGCATGTACATGACATATAAAAATTAGATCTAGAAAAGTTTACAGTCCACATATCATTCATTATCTATAATGAATTTAGGAAATTAAGTTTTAAATTTAGTTAAATTTTTTTTCTGATAGTAAATTATTCTCTAAAGGATTACTAAAGAAATTTATTTATATTTTCTTCTGTAAATCAAAACTTAATGATTGTTTTTATTAAACTAAGAATGATACGTTTTTAATTATTCATTATAAAAATACCTTTAACATCAATTAATTGTTCTTCAGTTAATGGTTGCCCATTAATTGGATCAGCTGGTGATTCATGTAAATATTTAATAATTAAACGTTTTTCATAAATACAACCAGAAACAGGTGAAAGTACCGGTTGTTCAGGAACTTCATTTGAAACTATAAAATAAATAAACATACTTAAAACAAAGCTATTAGCACAATTCCTACAGAATTACAATGCGAAACATGATGTAACTGCTGCCGTTAATCACAGTGAAATTGTTTTATTCTATCTATTTTGAGACATATTTTGTCACCATTCTTTTATTTAATCCTCCAGAAATCCAATAAGCAGTTCATATATTATAGCAAGACGTCATTGATATATCGTCTGTGACGGTCTATAGGGGGAAAGTTGTAAATGGTGAAGAATTTTTCGAACTGGTTCGGCCCGGCTAGTTGAGAAACCATCGTTTAGACTGGCAAAAAACCGCCCGGTTGGTTGAATCATTATTAATCGGTTAATGGGAATGGCTTCAAAAAATGTTCATTGTTCTTTGTGCACTCAGGCTTTTACAAATTCCTAGGAAGAAATATTATGTTATAGTCGCTAAGATCTGTAGGGTTTCTCAGAGATGAATATGTCATATTTTTACATATATCGCGAAAAAAAACAAGAGTAATTTATCCATCAACTAATTGTGAAACTTCAAACCTTGAATTTTCTCACTCAATCTTTTCAGAAAACCCTAAAGTTTCTCTTCGAATGACCATCGAAACCTAAATTTGATCTTTACCAAAAAAGTTTAGCTCAAGTAATACAGTTTTAATTGTACTTTTAAAAAAAAATTAAAATATACTTCGATTAAAGAAATAAATCAGTGTGAACGACGAACAGAAGTAAACTTGCTCTTAACAAGTTTTATCAGAGACAAATGCCACATCTATAAAATATTTTTCAACTGGATGAAGACTGTTTACAACTCTGAGGGGAGGAAGCAAATTTGTACCTTTATACTTCAGAACTCTTTTTAGATCGTGTTTCACAAAAAGAAAAAGAATAATCTATACAACTAAAAAAAAAATCACTTACGAGAACAAATAAGTGACATAATTATTAAAAAGTAAAGGATCTGAAAATGAAGAAAACAATCACAGTTAATATAATTTCCTTAAATGTCATAATAAAGATAAAACAGAATAAATGTTGAAAATAGTAAATGAATATAGATTTTAAAAAAACAAAGTAAAAATGAGTATTCGTTTCTTTTTTTTTGTTCTTTTGTTTTGTCATTTGATCATAATGTAAGAGATTTGCTTAAATTATATTATTATGCAATATTATGTTCAGATGTTCTTGATGATTGACGATTGTTACCTAATACTGGACTAACATTACTGTCTTGTACAGCAACTTTTAATCCACGAGATTTTATTTTTGTTACATTCATTTTTGATGTAGCTGTAAGTAGTGGCTTATCATAAAGAGTTTGTTCACCATTTTCATCAGATTGATTATCATCAGATTCAGATACAATTAAATTTGATATTTTTGTTCTATCTAAGAGAAAAGTTTTTTTTTTTTTTTCAATGAAATGAAATGAAATTTCTTTTCTTTTCTTTTCTTTTCCTTCACTTACTTTTTTTTGATGAATGAAATTTATTTTTACTTATTTCTTTTGAACTCGATGGACTTTCATCATCATCGCCATTTTCATCTAATAATTGATAACGAATACGTTTACGACGTTCTAATAAATTACGACGACGTCTCCAACGTAAACAACAACATAAACATAACCAACAAAATACTATTGTTGATATTGAACTAACACTTGTTATTATAACAAAATAATAAATTATAAAATCTATGATAGAACATAATAAAAATAGTAGATTTATAAGATTCAAAATCAATATTTGAATGAATAATAGGCTATGTTCTGATTTAATATACACGAATTGAATTTATCAATCAAAATTAAAAATATGAGTTATGATACAAAGAAATTGTAATATCAAATAAGGGATAGACGGAAAATTTCTAGATAAATTATTTGACTATTTTTTAGAATATTTAAATGCATTGGTAGTGTATCAGAATTAGAATTGTGTTCTCTTTCGGAATATATCAAATTATTAAGATGGAGCAAAGGCTTTTATAAAGTCTATCAGAAGGAAAATGACTATTTTTTAGACTTTTGCCTTTCTAGAAATTTTGATTCCTGCCAAGATTTATTTATAGATCAATAGTCAAATGCTACAGAAAAATTCTAAACAAATAGTCTGAATGAACATAAAATTCTGATTCTAATAGACTACCAATGTATTTGAACACGCGAAATATAATCAAATATTTTGTTTAGAAACGTTCAGTTCACTCTTTACATGTTAGAAAATACCTAATAGGTTTTTTATATAGTAAAATTAATACTCTTCAACTTTTGTTTCGATTGTCATCACTCATTATTTTATACATATAAAAATGTAATAGGTATTTTACGTTAATTTAATCAATTCGGACATTTCACAATTGTCCAAGTACCGATTATACAGACAATCTTTTTAATCTCTTTACTACTTTCTAACAAATAAGCTTTTACTCAATGCTGAATCAGTTTAGTAAGGTACTGGAAATTCAAAATTTTAGTAAATTTTTATTTTCAATTTATTTGATGTCGTTGAATAGAGAACATCGAGTTACCAATGAAAAACTACATTTCCAGTTTTTGGAAACAAGTTTTTTCTGGAAATAAGACTAAATTTAAAATATATCATCGTTAGAGTCGTCCATTATTACAGAGATGTAAATATTCTATTTTTTTTTCACTTTTTGAAACTTTATAAGGTTTATTTGTTGATTCTGCAGACAAAATCGATAAAAAAGAAATTTTATGTACATAACGTTTTTTTGGTCAATTTTGTCTTCAGAATCAGGAAATAAGCCTTATAATATTCTACAAAATGAAAAAAAAAATAGCATATTTACATATCTATAATATTGGACGATTCTAATTATGATATATTTTGAATTTAGTCTTTTTTTTCAATATTTCAACGAAAAACTTGTTTTCAAAAAATAAAAAAGTAGTTTTTCATAGGTAACTCGATGTATTCTATCTAATGACATTAAATAAATTGAAAACAAAAATTTACTAAAATTTTGAATTTCCGACACTATAAATTGTTAAACACTTCTTGTCTAAAATTAAAGCAATTCTATTAAGTTGTACATTTAGCTCTGAGAGGAATTTTTTTCAAAAAAAAAAATTCTTTCATACTTACCACAATTTGGTTCTCTATAAATAATAGATTTAAACCAATTTGCCATATAATATTTATTACAAATACAACGTTTTGTTTTCTTGTCACATTTTCCACGATTTGAACAATTTGATAAACATAAATAAGTATCAATTGATAATATATTCATATTTGATGCTGAACGTAATGATTTAATTTTATTTTGTAAATGATTAACAATTATTTTTGGTGAAATAATTAAATTATTTTTAGGATCTTTTCCTTTAATTAATAAAATATTTTCTTTTAACATTCCAACCATAATAATTTCTATATTTGGTAATAAATCAATAAGAAAAACACGTATTTGTGCTAAAAGATTATCAAGTGTTTGTTGATATAAATATGGTTTTGATAAGAAAATAATTTCAATTAAATTTTCTTCATCAGGTATACCATTAACATTAACTGTTATATTCATTTCACTCATTTGTTGTCTATCATCATATACTTGAAGGATAAATATATATTGTCCTTCAATCAAATTTGTTATATAAGCAATAGGTGATAAATTTGAATTATTTATAAAATAACTCATAGCTGGATTTAATGGATTTTTAATCCATTGCCATTTTGCAATACCATAATCAGCTGTTGTTGATGTTGCATTAAGTATAATAAGATTATTTAATATATTAACATAATTTGTTTCTAAATGAATAGAAATTCTTGGTGGTTGACCATTTTGTGAATAAACAATAACAAGAACTTCAATTTTTGATATATATTTTTTATCATTTGTTACTAATGTTAAAAGAAATTTATATTGACCAATACGAAGATTTGTTATTTGTGTTTTAAGTGAATGTGGTGAAATAATATCTATTTTATCTGTATCTTGTTTATTATCATTTGATATTAATGTCCAATAAATATATGTTTGTGGTTCAATTATACTTGGTGTACCATCAAGTATAACATCATTTGATGGCCAAAATACAAGTTCACGGTGATTTACTACTCGTGCTTCAATTGGTTCTAAGAAATTTCAAAGAGAAGAGTTTTTTTTTTTCTTTGAATTATTATCTTACCCCCAATAGCAATTAATCGAATAGTTTTTGTTTGTTGATTACCAATACTATCAATAACATTTAATTGAAATGAATAATTACCAGAACGAAGATTTGAGATTAATAAATCAGATCTATGGATATTCTATAAGTAAATAAATACTTTAGTATAATCGAAATGTTCTGTGTTTTTTTTTAAATGAAATTTTACTTCTAATGTTGGTGTAACGGGACCATCGTTTTTGTAAGTCCATTGATAGGTAACTTGTCGATTAGAAGGTTCAACATAGGCTTCAAGTTTAATTACTTGTTGTGGTAAATGAACTGTTACTGGAGATGATACTTTGACAACAAGAGGTGATGGTGTTGTTTTAGCTGAAAATATCAATAATGAATAATCGAATTCTGAAATACTTTAATCATTCTATTAACATCATCAAGACAATAATAAAAACTATTCAAATTTAAAATAAACAACCAAACAAAATTGACAAAAGAATTTCTTCAGATGTCAAATCGCTTTTCGACGAAGATGATGTCCATTTAATGAGTAATAGGAAAGTCTAGTATGGTTTTGTTCTTCGGACCTTCATTCTCAAGGTTACCGGACAGAACTATACGGAGAATTTTTGCATAATAAGTACTGTCATCAGTGATATTTGGTACGAGTTGAGAACGAGAATGTGAAGGTCTTCTCTGACGCTTAGCTTCATGCCCACACTCTAAATGCTAAATTCATATGTACTTTAGTGATCGAAAATCAAAATAAGTATCTTTGTTGTCCTATGCTCAGTTCTGGAACGAAATAATAAACCGAGTTCTTTCTTGGAGATTCGGAAGTTTCTATATCAAATATTCGTCTTATCTAATCGGATGGAAACAAAATAGTACTATAGTATGATGATTCAATCAGATTGATGATAAAAGAAAAGAAACTCTTTTTCTATTTACAAATACATTAGTATGGATTATTATAGTTCAAAAGTTAGAATTAATTAATTAATTTCAAGACATCAAATAAATTCTTTGAAATCTTCCAATCTCTGTTTATCAATTTATTAAAATACTATTATGTCAATACTGTCGTTGAATAGTATAAAAAAGAAATCAATTCAATTCAATATAGAGATTTTTATCAGAATATATAACATAACAGAATTTTAAAAATCATTTTTCAAAATAAACTATAGACATTGTTATAGTTATTAAAACATTATACATAATTAATATCCAGTATGAATAAAATACAGTCGGACTCACTTAAAATAATATTTTTTTAGATTATTTTATCTATCAATAGAGTATAACAACCTTTATTTGTAGTATATCAATCTCAGACATTTTCATAAAATAAACCAAAAAGCAAAATTGATTCTTTCAAAATCTGATATTCTTAGATAGATTTATACATATATGAATAGTTTACAATTGTATTTCATATATATTTCTGGAAAAAAATAATTATAATCAATTTATTCAATCTATTGTCATGGTAAAAATACATTTAAAAAAAACTAACTATATATTTAGAAAGGACTTGAAGTTTTCTATCATCCTGTACAATTCATGTTTTAACTTACACCTACCGACTGGAAAATAAATCAACTGCAATGAAGACATCCACATCATGAAATTTTCACGAACTAAATTTTTTTATTACTGTTCCTTCAATTAACTTTTTAAATTAATAATTCTCATTACAGAAATAGTTCTCTAAATCTGATAGAGCTTGAAATTCTCTATCAGACTCAAAGAACTATTTCTGTAGTGATAATAAAGTTAAAAATTTAATTGAGGTGATAATGACTATTATGGTACTTATGTTAGATGTGCTATAAGAAAAAAAATGTTTTATGTATTATCCATATATGTTCGTTGTCTTTCTTTTGTTTCATACATATATGATTTATAGTATCTGTCTGTTCTTTCATTCTGTTAGATATTTCACTTAGTGTGTTCGTTTGTTTCTTCCTAAGCTTTCGTTCTTTTCTTTGATCTAACAACTCTTATTCATTTTCTTCAATCTCTGTTGATATTGTTTTTTTTTCTCGTAAAAGTCAAGAAAACCGTTTTCTTGACCTTGAATTGAAATTTATTGCGCAGTTAGTGATGCATGACTATATATATATATATATATAGGTTGGGGTTATTCAAGTAGAAAGAGAGAGGAGGTAGTTATTTTTTGATTCAACAAAAATATAACTGAGAAAACTTAAATAACATCTTAAAAATGACCATACACACATCAACGTTAATATCGAACATAACAATGACGGAATTCAATGCATTGGAATTTGACGATGATGATATCTTCATTGTAATTAAATGATTCTTCAGTCAGTAGACGCAAGTTAAAACATAAGTATATAGAGTGATCAAAATTGTAGATATTTTCTACAGGTAAGAAGAGAGCCGAAAATTCGACAGAAAGTGCTTTCATCATTCTTGGAATGCTAGAAGTGGTGACCAGTGGGAAGAACGAAGCTGACAACAGAGGACCTGTTCGTCCCTCTTCAATCTGATTCATCTCGCAACGACATTGTCTGCTTATTTTGATGCCACTTTCTGCTGGAGAAAGGTAAATGATGTTTCAAAATCCGATGATTGTCCAAAGTTATTATGAAGCTGTAAAAAATTGGTAGAAAGTAGGACATTTTAAGGAGGAAAGGCCTCTTAAATCCTGAAAGTGATAGAAAATTCTGAATGCTTTCTCAATATATATAATTATTTTCTTTAAATATGTTTTTATGGTAACTATAGGGTTTAAAAATCGATTAAACCAATTTGTTTTTTCAAGGTTATATAAAAAAGTTTTTAATTTAATTTTCTTACCTGAAAGAACTTCTATTTTAACAGTATCAGATGCTAATGTTGTTCCATGTTTATCATTTAATTTCAATTCAAATTCATATATTCCTTCACGTAATTCTTTAACAAGAATATGTGATGTTAAATCTTCTTGATTAGGTATATCAATTTTAGCTCCATTCGTTGATGATTTAAGTGACCAAAATAAATTTAAATTTTGATTTTTTAATATTGACATATCAATTTCACTTTTATTTGATTTATAAAGAACATGTCCATATAAATCAATTTCATGTTTAGGTAATGTTATTATTTGATCATCACCAGCTTGTACTATAAAATCATATAATGATGAAATTGAAGTTGATTTTGTTGAAGATATTAAAGAAATTGTTGATGAATATTCTTGATTCTCAATTACACATTTTTCGTTAATATCTTTTCTTATAAAACCTAATTTACATTGACAATAACCATGTTTAGCACGATCATTTGGTGGTAAGCATTCTTCATTTTTCTTACATCTTCCTCTATCATAATCATCATCATCATTATCATTATTATTATTATTATCATAATCTGTTTCATATAGTACGCAAGGTTTTGTACGAGGTAAATATTGTCGACAAACACCTATGAAACAATAAATTATGCTTTAGAAAACAAAGAAATGTTGTTTTTTTTTATATTTTTACCATTAATACGACGAAAATAATTATTACGATCACATGAACATATATTTCGTGTTAATTGAGCATTTACTGATACTTGTTCACATTTTTCATTAGCAGGACATGATTTTGTTCCATTACATTCATCAGTTCCTGGTTCATAATCAATAGCAGCCGCCGTTGATTCTTTTTGTTTTTTAAATTACAAAAATGATCGTTGTTTTTATTTTTTATTTTTCTATTTCAAAATCATAGAAAAACTTTACTTACGAACAGAACGAACTCTCAAATACAATGTATCGTCACTATTATCACCATTAGCAATATTCATCGGTTCACATAATTCATCCGATGAACATTCAATATGAAGACATGTTGATGATATCCAATAGGCAACATTACATCGATTAAATTTACAACATTGAGTAACACATTCACTCCAACTATTGACCTTAATTCTAACAGATGAAAATCAATAAATTAAAAATTTCTTTTTTTTCGTCTTGTTTGTTTTTACTTTGAATATTTTCCAGCATTAGAACCACCTAGTGGTTTAACACTTGTATAAATAAGTTCTTTTAATTCAATAGAATGTTTCCAATCATTAGACCATATTGAACAAACATCGACTAAAATAAGAAAAAAAAGATTTATTTAAAAATCTTGTTTTTCTCTTCTAAATAAAATTCATTATTTACTATCATTTGATTTTGAATAAGAAAATGTCTGAAAAGAAAAATAGACAAGCACCAATAATATAAATTTTAGCACCAACATTGCATCTAAAAAAGAAAGTTATTTTGTTAAATATAGTACACGAAATTTTCTTGTTCTGTGCATGTAAATATATTTTGTTTCAAGTCAACCGTATGAAAAAATAACTCGGGAATATGATTGATAGCTAATGTGCCGACGTAAAACGTACCAGTCAAAGCAAAGAGAAAGAACGAAAAAATTTGGCCATATATCGAATGATTGCGAAAAAAAAGAAGGATTATGTTTTTTTTCATGGTATTAAAATAAAGATTATTTTGCTATGTGATATTGATTTGTATCAGATTAAAATTTCAGACTAAATCTGTTCTTTTATTAGATGGTGTCAATTGAGCCTAAATCCATATTATACCAATTTTATATGTTATAGCGCAGAGAATTATCAACAGTTGTCGTTAGTTGCTTAAAATATCTTGTATAATAGAAACCAAGCTAGCTAAACTTTGCCACACATTCCAACCATAGGAACTCTCCTCTCACTAGAGAACTCTATGATGTTAAGCTTCCTCCCGTCTACAGTGTGCATTTTTCACATGGCAGACAGACATTTGACTTTCTTGCTTGGAAACGAATTTCTTTGTTTAGAAATGGTTGGATATGCGCAGAAAAGTATTTTTGACAAAAAAAGCAATTTTTTGGAAAAAAGTTTTTTGACGAAAAATGCTTGCCGGAGATCCTTACCTCTCATTTTTTCGAGAAAATGTTTTTTCTTCAAAATTGTTTTGTGTTATATATCATTCAACGCAGCTAATGCACTGGTTTCGAATATACTATTTTTCTCGATTAAATATTTTTTCAAAGCCAAAAACAAACTTAGATTTTTCAGACTTTTTTTTGGAAACCTACCATGCAGCCCAAGTATGTTTGCACTAACAGAGATTGGAGATAGTAGATAGAAAAACATTTTGGCAAAAATTTGAGCAAGTTTGGAGGTTGGATGTGGGTGAATTGCTCATTTAATTAGACTAGGTGTTTGGACGACACTAGAAAAAAACATTTTTTTTTTCTCATTTGATTCATCTGTCGAATAGTTTAATTTTGCCAGATCTCAATTATCCAGATGGCATGATGATTTTTAGGCAACTGATTCGTGTTTAGTTTCTTTGAAGGTTGTAACAATGTTATTATAGCATTAGATACACTATATTTAGAAGTATATATGGTTATTTTTAAATCTTGAAAGAGCGCGATTTTCATTTTTAGCCAAATGCTAGCCTCGATATATACTGTTCCATCCGCGACCTCAGAATCTTGTTCACAGTATTAGCCTTGAAGAAATTTTCAATTATCTCTATTATTTGTGATTCATTGAAATAAAAGAAAAAATATAATATTTACTGTTCTTTGATGACAGAATTATACTCAGCTTTCTGAACACTAGTGGATTCATTTTTAATGAATTCAAATATAATTTGCTACATGTTTTTCAGAGTAGATTTTAAAAATGTTCATGATCTTGTTACACTTCTACTCTATTTAATTGTAAAACTTTTCTGAAAAATAGAAAATACAAGATGTTGAAACTATAAAAGGAAAAGACTTGGTTTTTTATGAACATTGTTTTTGTGATGCCAAGAATTATTTTTCCAGCGAGGAATGTTATTAAAATATCATTGAAAAATGAACAAACATATGTGCATAATTTTGAAAAAAATTCTTCTTCAATATTAATATTACTGTAAAATTGATTCAAAATATTTCTTTAAAAAATTCTTGCATTGTAAGATTTAGTTGATGTGTATGATTTACACTGACTGAAAATGTATTCGAACAATTAAGTTGGTTTTTTTTTTGTGTGTGTCAACTTGTGTAATTACGAAAAGAGATTATTGTTTTCTCTTGATATCAATAGATAGTTTTCACTTTGTATTGTGTTCTTTATAAGAATCAGCAGTCTAGATTATTAAGTCAAAATTAGATAGATTGTTCTTTGAATGTCGATTTATGTTACTATTGTAAACATGATTGAGTTTTCGAACAATTTTCCGACCATGATTGAAAGCGAGTCATAGTCAACTATGAAGTTTTATTAAAAAATTATTTTAATCAAGGATCTTTTCTTTGTCTCCAAAAAATAGAACTTTTTGAATTTATTCAATTTATTACCGATGTCTAAATAGTTAGAATTGAATTGATTCTTCGTTATTGTCTCCAATTTAGAACTTTATGGCTGTTCTAGGATCCACCTGTATCCATCTATAGAAAATTACAAAAAAAAAAAAAACTTTTGTTTTATTCAAGCCTTTCATGTACTTATAATAGGCCTCTAGCTGAGTTTCTTTTTACGACGAGTTACATATCAGTTTCCTTGCAGGCAACATGAAGGTATATAATATCGAACAAAGATTTTTTTTCTTTTGAAACTATTTTCACAGCAGCGTTGGAACATAACTGAGAAAAAAACAACTTAGATTCAATTGCCTTAGTCTGGAATGGGAGAGATATGCTCATATATTGATATATACAATCATTTACAGTAACCAAATGATCACTTTTTCTTTTGTTCACGATTAAAAAACTAGAAAAATGTATGTAATGAAAGAGTATAGAACTGCAACAAAAAACACTTTATTTTTAATTTCAAGCGTTCAACAACTTACAGTTGTCATCATCAGAAAACCATTAGAAAAGAACAAAGTTAAGTTATATACATATGGAGGTGACCAACGTGACTGGTATCCCAAGATAAAGAATAGGAAATGATATTATTTCAAGGAGTAGTATATTATGAGTTTTATACCAAATGAAAGCTCGTCGAAAATGAGATTTATCGGTACTAAATAATAAGGGTTTTGTAAACTTTATAATGTCGAATTTAAGAAATTTTAAGAAATTTTCTACATTAAAAAATATTAAAAAACTCACATTTTCTACATGGAAGAAAAACATTAGATTTTTCCATAAATTGTCTTTTATTCATTATTTCTACCACATCGCATGTTTCGAAATATATTCAACAGATGCAGCGTGGAAAACTGAATCGAATAAGTGTATTTCGAAACATGCGAGGTAGTAGAAATAATGAACAAAAGATAATTTATGGAAAAATCTAATGTTTTTCTTCCATATAGAAAATGTGAGTTTTTTAATATTTTCTAATGTAGAAAATTTCTTAAAATTTTTTAAGTTCGACATTACAAAGTTTACAAAACTCTTACTATTTAGTACCAATAAATCTTATTTTCGACGAGCTTTCATTTGGTATAAAATTCATAATATACTACTCCTTGAAATAATATCATTTCCTATTCTTTATCTTGGGGTACCAGTCCAGTTGGTCACCCCCATATATGTAGCCTAGCTTTGTTCTTTTCTAATGATTTTCTAATGATGACAATTGTAAATTGTTGAAAGCTTGAAATTAAAAGTAAAATGTTTTTGGTCGCAGTTCTATACTCTTTCATTACATACTTTTCAACCTGCGCTTTCACTCGATTATAGAGAAAATTGTAGCATCCCATTCACCATAATACAGTTGTCCTCATTTGAGTTTATTTGGCAAATATATAAGAAAAAAATTCACATGACTCAAAAGTATATTCGACAAACAGAAAAACCATGAAAGTATAGTTTTGATTAAAGAACAAATTAAAAATTTCAACCTGTGTACAGAAAATATTAATTCTTACTACTAATGATGGATATACAAACAAATAAAAAAAATATACTCGGAGAACAACTTTAGAAAAGCAAAAATTAATATTTGTAACATTGTAGTTGTTATCAAGTCCATTCGAACTCATTGCTTCATTTTTTCTTCTCTAACACTGAAAGGTTGTGTATGGTAAATTAAAGAGATTGATCATATTCGGGTTCAATGAATGATCTCACTACTAAACTAACTGTTTTAAAATATGAGTTGCTCATAGTGGGTATGGATCGAGATATTCGAATTTAAATAAATGTATCATGTATGTCACGTAGTCATACGTCAAAATTACAGTAACAATAGTTTTTCTTTTCTCGTCATAGTTGAGTAGAACTTGATGAGTTATATAAGAAAAAATAATTATCGAACATATTCAAAAGAAGTGTAGTCGCATGATATCGATTATAAATACCTTGGAATTCGAATATCTCGGTTCATGCATGCTATGGACAGCTCATATTTTAAAATAGTTAATTTGACTATGAAAGCATTCACTGGGCTCGAATATGGTCAGTCTTCTTAACTTACAATATACGGTCTTCCATTATTAGATCTATTCATAATTTATGATAAGGATATTATGCACCAACGAAAGACTAGAGATAAGAGAAGAAGAATGATCGGAAATATCAAATGGTAATATAGTACTACAAGAAAATTTGTGAAATGAACTCAGGTGATCTTCAGCATAATAACGAAGGATTAACTGAATATCATCTTTTACTGTGACTATCTGTAAATGTTAGTGAAATTGATAACACGAGTTAGACAACTAACTGCAGAAACTTTAAAAAATTAGTTTTCTTGATATACTATGTTCTAAACTTTATGCAAACCAATAATTGCTTGACTTTTTAAGACTTATTATGCATTCTTTGGATACTAAGTAAAAGCATCTTGTTTTAAAGGAATGAAAAAAAGTCTTATTCTGTATGATTGCGAGAATAGATTAGTTTTACAATTGAATTTCTCAAGATTTAAGACGTTGATCTAGATTATTGATTCTTATATATTAAAAAATACAGACAACAAAGTGAGAACAATCTATTCCCTTTTTGAGTTGTCGTAACACATACAGATGAAATAAATCTAGCAATATCATAACTGGATTTATAATAGTTGTTTATTTAATTTTAATAGAATAGTTCAGATATATCTCATACTCGTATCGATATTCAAGGCTGCACTTATATGCACAAAAAAAAATGATAATTTTCGATGTCATAAGTTTGTTCACATAATTGTTAATGATTTCTTCATCGAACTTTCTCTTATGTCATACATATTGAGCAACAGATGATCGATCATTCATGGTGCAACAGCGTCTATTCGCCGATTTCTTTTTATTTTTTTCCATAATGTTCGCCATTTTATCAAAAAACGAATGTCAATTATTGCAATAAGAAATGGATCTAAGGCTATTTGTATATAACTCAGCAAAACAGTGAAAACACCTGGGTCACTATTGACATCAACAAATTGACAAGCAAGTGTATCTGGACTCCATAAAATAAGCCAAATAGAATAAAAGGCTATTGCTTTCAATAAAAGTATTCTTTGACGTCTACGACGATGAAGGATAATTTGTCCACTGATAACACCTTGTATTGAACTAACATGACGTATACCAAGGCCTAGAATGATAATATTAATAACAAGAGGAATAATGTAGATGAAAAATAGATTAAATATTTGAACTGGTAATGATAAATATATTATGTCACAAGATTCATCAACTCCACGTTGTATTCGTGACCAATCGGTAAGAAATTGAACAATAAGATTAAGTGCTGGTAAAATATAAATGAGAAAATGTATCAATATAATTAAATAAGGTTTTTCTGTATAAATATTTCGATTAAAAACAATATGCATATACCGACAAATATTAAATGATAATAGAAGATAACTTTGTATAGTATTGATATAAAACTTCCATGATGCTTCAAAATAACACAAAATCATTCGAGATGTTGAAAATATACACATCCCTGATAGATGTATACCATACAAAATAAAGAATCGTAAAAGAAGAAGAACACTAGTAATTAAATAAGCATAAAGCCACATCATATTTCGCTGTCGCAATGATGACCATACTAATACTTGAATCCAAAACATGCCGTGAATGATAACAGCAATTATAGATACAACTATAACAGGCTGTAGCGAATCAAAATTGCCAGTTGACCAATCGAAAGTAATACAAAAGTTGGACATGATTACTGTGAATTGATTTTATATAAAATACTTTTGTACCAAATAGCGATATACTCCGACGATCAATCAAATGAATGTGACGTGAAACTAGAATACTATTTTAACTGTTAATCTAGACGAAGATTAAAAAGTGCGACTATCAAAAGACAAGAAAGAACATGGAAAGTCATTAAAAAAAATAAGCTATTTCGTCATTAGTATCATGCATTAACAACGCAAATGAATTCTATTAATAAAAGATTATGATTTTTTTAAAACTAGACAAGAGTTTCTTCTCTGATGAGTATGAGTGCAACTTAATGCTAGGCAATATTCTTAAATCGAATGAATTTTTAGGCAATAAAAAGGTTTTTCTTTTGTTTGAAGCGATTTTTTAAAGAAACTTGTAAACTTTTCATATAATTGAGTAGAAATAGAGAAATGTTTGCTGAATCGAATGATGCAAAAGTCATTCAATTATCTCGAAAATTCACAGAATAATTAGCAAGAATTTGTCGGCAATTGAATTTGTTTTTATCAGAACCAATGATCCTAATAAGAACACACTTTGTAAAATAGATGGAAAATAAAATATTTTTCGTAAATGGGCCTTTTTACTATTTAAACTTAAAAATTTCTTTGTACTTCTATGACCAAAAACCGTTCCACGATAGATGGTCTATGAATTTCTAGTGATTTAAGGAAAACGGAATTTTTCTTTTTATCAATGACATCGATTTAAAATGGTGGCATTACCAATATATAATAAACTGTGGTAATTCGATCATAATTTCATATCAATCACAAATACAACAACTTGTGTTATATTTACATTCTTTTACAACTGTATGGCTTGTACTATAAAAATAACTCTCAGAAAATTTTAATAAATTATCGCAAACGATCGTATGTTCGACATAATATAGATGAAAAACGGTAACGGTAAGTAAGAATCAAACAGAACTCCATTGGATGAATTAAAAAAACTCATAAAGCTGAACCAAATGTTACAGCTGTTGCATTCATCTTAATTTATTTATTTAAATATATATGCGTGTCACAGGCAAAATGAATTTCAGGTTTAAAAAAGCTGTTAGCGCAATACATGCGTGATTAAAATATGCCATGCAAGATAATTGCCGCTGCTCATAAAAGGAAGATTTTTTTATTCTATTTATTTTCGTATACACTTCTTCACTACCCTTTACGTAATTCTCTAGAAAAGCAATTAGGAAATCGTTCATGTGATAAGGAAATCTGTCAAGATCTGTGATGAGCAGTTGCTAACGTGTTTCTTACATCTGTCAAGGATGGGAGTGAGGTCCAAATTTTTACATTTATACTTCAATACTCTTTTTAGGTCGTGTTTCACTATAAACCTGGATAGGTTCCGTTGTTAATCAGGTGGAAAACTATGAAATAATTTTCTTTTATATAAAAATAATTCTGCTTTTTATTTTTATTAACGGAATATAGCGCGTACTCGGTGCTCTTTTAAGAAATACTATTTATTTTCGCTAATTGATATTTTGATGTATGCATGAGAGACTTCTGTGTCAATATCACATCACAAAAAATATCCGAAAATCTTTTTATGAATAATCATGACAACATTTCTATTTTTTGAGCATCAAATTCTGAAGGAAGATATGTAATATTCTAGCACAGGGAGTGCATAAGCTAAAAAGTTCTTCATTGTTTTTGGTTGAAACATAACTCAATAAAACTTAACAACATAATATAATCATACTGTGAGTATAATCTATGAGACAGATGAAATTCTAAGACAATTGAACATCAATAAAAAAAAGGCTAGTATTTATTTGAGCAATAGAAATACTGGAATGGGCAATAATTAAAATACGATTTAGGAATAATTTTTGAGCAACAAAAAAACTTTATTTGAGTAATTTTTATATTATTAAATGTACAATAATTAATTCATTAAGTAGCGGTAGTAATTTCATATTTTAGCAATAAAACAAAGGAAAGCTATATTATTTTATACGAATTAGAGAAATAAAAAAGTTATTTAAAATTAAAAAAAAAGAAAAATGAAAAACAGTATACTATTCTGTGAATAAAGCTTTTTTTGCTTTAGATAGTCTGCCTTCTTTTCTTTTTATATTTTCTTTTGTAAAATTGAAAAAAATACGTATTTGTATATATAAGTGAATTCATATTGCTCTTCGTTAACGGGGGATTGATCTAACACATCAATACTGAACTACTACTTTATTGGAGAAATGGTAATTATATACAGTATGTAAAAAAATTATTTGGACACCTATCTTAGCTAT